TGCTAAATAATATATATATATATATATATATATATATATATATATATATATATATATATATAATGTTGTCTCTCGAGTATGTTATTGGGATTATTCGAATCCATTTCTATTATAGTACGTTAATCTTTGTTTATGGTATATAAATAATAATGTTCCATCAATTCAAATGTAAATTTATAATAACGTAATAGTTCGGTAGAGTTGAGGAAACATTTTTTCTCTTAGTAGCCAAAATTGAACTTAGAATAAATGATTTTCTCAGCCTGAGTTCTTAAGATTTGAAAAAGGATGGGAAATTGATAAAGGAGAGGAGAGATAGTGAAGTTGCCAATTGCTGCAAATTGATGCTCTTACTTAGAACTGTCAAATGGTCATCCGACCATGGGCTAAGCCCAGTCCATAATAGTATGGACGGTCCGTGGTCAGCCCATAAATAAAATGGGTCATCTGGTCTAAAGACCAATTTTGTCCATGGATAAGAGTCTTACTGGTTAAAGTTGCAACCTGAATTTTAAGTTACCGAACTATGCAAACAAAGAGTCTTCTGACTCTTCTCCCAAGTCTCATTTCATTATCCGATTTCAAATCCTAATGCGATCAATATTAATAAATACTAAATACACATCTTAGGTACCAAAACTTAAGCTTCGCTGAGTTTTATCCTCAACAACAACAACAACTACTACTACTACTACTACTAGGTAGTGGGAACACAGAAAAAAAAAATCACTTTAGAAAGCATCCTCGTGATAAAGATGAAGCCCTTGTGTAATTTCCAGTTCCAATAAAAGTTTCAATGTTTAGTGAAAAAGAAAAAAAAAAAAAAAGACGAAGCCCTAATCCAAATCTTGCACAGCATCACCGTAGCCTTTGTCGTTTGATTTGTGGGCTTCTTTGTTTTCAGGCTCATTGTCATGTTTGCTTCATTAAACCCATTCTGTTGAAACGCAGTCGTTTCTATTGTCTGACACGCTGTCGTTTCTGTTCTCTGTTTTGTCTCTCTTCTCACCCTTGCTTTTCACCGGAGACGATGCCTCTTGCTTCCTGTTTGCCGGAGACGATGTTAATTTAGTAATAAAAAACAATAATTTTTGATGTATGACACAATTTTTCATCCAATTACACCTAAGTAAGGTGAAAACCTTTTCTTAAAAAAGGTTAACTTCATTATCAATATTTTGACGTGTGATATAATAGTTGTATTCGAAGAAGTAAACTACAAAAACGTGTGCGATGAAAGAAACTCTGTCAATTTCATGCTTGGTATTTCAATAATCTCTACGCTAATTGACCAATAATTATAGTAGGTTTTTAATTAACGTGTGGAACTAACATTTCTCCATTTGGAAATATAAAGTAAAGATGTACGTGTTTACGACTCAAGTGATCACCCACTCACTCTTCAAAGTCACAAGTCACAACGTTGGTAACAAACTCTCAGATTCTATTATAAATATCACATATGTGTGTTTCGAAATTTGAACAACATAAAATAATTAGTGTATATATTAAAAAAACATTTCGTATATTTAAATTGATTTTGTGCATTGACGATCGAGTAGTACTTGACGTTCTGAACTAAAGTTGTTATGCGTATCTCTGTCTGGAAATTAGTCATAGAAAGTTTTGACGTGTTTATGCCGTGAAATTGTGTACAAAAAACAATAAAGTGAAAACCTTTTTAAAAAAATGTTAACTTGTTATCTATATTTTGACGTGTGATTCTGTTGTAATGGAAGAGCTAAACTACGTATACTAAAGCAAATATGTCAGTTTCATGCTTGGTATCCAATGATCTCAATGCTAATTGGCCAATAATTATAGTAAGTTTTTAACGTATTGAGGTGAAATTTCTTCTTTGGTTTGTTTTTATGCGTTTTACGACTCAACAAGTTAAACTAAAGTGATCCACTTACAATCGTTGGTAACAAACAAAGGTCTTAGATTTTCTTATAAATATCACATGTGTGTTTAGTAAGTCTCTATCTCTCAAAACACAAAATATTCACTAAAGAAGAACAAGAATGGAGAATCCAAATTTCGATACACTTCCTGAACATCTACAAATGGAGATTCTGTCACGGTTGCCTATGCTATCCTTGGTGACATGTGCATGGCTCTGCGTCTCAAAGAAATTGGCATCTTTAATCCGCTCCCAAGAATTCAAAGCTCTTTACTTGAGCCGATGGACAGATCTTGACGAAGATACTTTTGATCTGGTGTATCAAAAAAAATCTGCTGGTTGCATGATTAAATCTTCAACGTGAGGTCTGAAGAGTTTAGTGTCATTGAATTATCTTCATCTTTAGTATTCCGTTCGTCTGAAGAGTTTAGTGTCATTGATTATGTTCGTCTCATTTCTATTGTCCGTTAATTAATCTCATGAGAAGTGATGGTATCCTAGTGGTATTTCATTCTCACAGATGAGTGCCAGAGGTCTCGAGTTCGAGTCTCTCTGTCACCACGGTGGTACTAAACCTCTCCAAATAAAAACTCCTCCATACGAGTAGGGACAAGCGGTGTATACTAACCCGTAGGTCCAGGCTGGAGGTGGGGTTTTTCCTGGATATGAGGCCGCTTTGCGGTGGGATCTGTCACTATAAAAAGTTTACTCTAACAGTTTTTGTCCGCAAGGTGGTGGGCGAGTGGTAGGGTGAGTCCGGAGTTGAGGGTGAAATCCCCGAACCCGGGTTCGATCTTCCTCCCTCGCTGTTATCAACACTTTGTTGGGAAGTCTGGGCTTGGGCTTCGGCCCAGGCAGTTTACCTGGTAGTCTGGTAACAGGCGATCCAGCTACCCCTGGGCATTAGTCGGAAAGCATTCCAAACTCGGTTCAGGCAGTGTGGTAGCCCATCCTTCGGGGTGGTAGTGAGTCCACTCTGTAGCACTCCGGTGCGTTCCTACCGAGGATGACCGGATCAGCCGATCGGGTATATCAAAAAAATTAATCTCATTATTTATGTTAAATAATAATGTTGTCTCTCGAGTCTCGAGTAATCTTATTGGGATTATTCAAATTCATTTCTATTGTCGTACGTTAATCTTTGTTTATGTTATATACTTATATATATAGAACAATTTGCCAATTGCTGCAAATTGATACTCTTACTGGTTAAAGTTGCAACCTCAAGTTAAGTTACAGAACTATGCAACAAAGAGTCCTCCGAGGCTAATTTCATTATCCTATTTCAAATTCTAAAGCGATCAATATCAGTAAATACACATCTTAGATACCAAAACTTGGTGCACAAAAAAAAAAAGAAAAAAAAAAAAAAAGATACCAAAACTTAAGCTTCGCTGAGTTTTTATACGTACTTTCCCATGGTTAAAAGATGACCCTTTTACAAAGCATCCTCGTGATAAAGATAAAGCCCTAATCTAAATCCCCCAAATCAACACAAGCAAGTATAAGCATGACCCCCCAAAAAAAAGACAAATACATAGTCTCTCAAAACCACAATCAAAGAACCCTAAAGTAACCCTTCAAAAAAGAGATTACCATGGAATGTATTTCATCTTCAACTCTGGTTTTGGATGACCGAATCAGCTGGAACCTTTTTGTTAAGTTCCTTGAGTATCTCAGCGAGAGGTCTACTTTTATTCCTGAAGTTGGAACATAGTTTTCCTTAAAGGTCGCGTTTTTTTTATTAGACTTTTTTCCCACGTTACTAAATTAGGTTTAACTTTTGCTATTAGTAAAAAAAAAAAAACTTTAGAGAGCAAAACGTCGTCATTGCGAGGGTTCTCGTCTTCTCGTTCAATCTCGGTCTCGGCGTCTGAGTCCTGCTTGAGCAAGCCCCACCGTGAGCTAATCTAATCTCTGTTATGATTAATTACATTCTTTTAGGTGAAATTGAACCATGTATCATGTTTTTTTTTGGAATTTCATCTGAGTGAGTTAGATAAATTCTGTTCATAGAAAGCTTAGAAAAAAAACCTTAACTTGGTACTAATTGAATTTGGAAAGTAGAAGTATTTAGTTATATGTAATTTCTTGTTTTTGCAAGTTCTCTTATTCAATCTCTTTAATTTCCACATTGTAGAAAGTTCGACTTTTTTTTGCTTCCCCAATTCTTATAATTTGTGCTATGAACTATCTGTAGAACAGGCTCAAGTAAAGAAAATAAGCCTTATGGAATAAGATGCATGTGAAATTATCCATATAACTGAAAAGCATGCATTGTCACCTGACCATCAGCCTGCTGGTATGACACAGAAAATTGTAGCCCAATGCCATCCTCTTAGGCATGCTTCCATTGTTTCCATTGAATCTTTGACTAGTACAGCATTCTCTCTTACACTTTTGAGTTACCGATAGGTCCAAATTGACAGCGGAGAAGAAACTCTTAGAGATCCTTCAATAGAAAGGCCGTACCTCTGCACTGGTTATGACATTTTCCTCATGTTGGAGCCTTGTACAATGTGAGTTTTCTACATACATTACCCTTCTAACATCCGCAAGTTTGAGAATACATACTAAACTCCTGATATCTTCTTAAGGTGTGCTATGGCGCTTGTGCATCAAAGAATAAAACGGATTTGTAGATGCACATCGGACGGGTACTAATCTAGTTAATTAGGATAAAAAATAAAAGTAGATACCAAACTTTTTCGAGAATTTGTAGATGAAATTTTTAAAATCTATCAAGATTCAAATAAAGAGATTAGTTTTCTTTTTGGATAGACTAAAAAAAATAGATTAGTTATCAACAAGCTAAAGAAATTAAATGAAAGCATATTTAATCATAAATTTTCTCATTTTCATAATTTTTAGTAGTAATATATACATATATTAATCAACATTTAGTAGTAATATATACATTATTTTTAGTAGGAAAACTGTAGCCTATATATAAATTTATTTATTTACTCTTCATTATTTTAAAATAAATTGATAGTGTTAAATCTCTTTTTGTCACAATTAATGTTAAAGATCCAAGATTAGATCATTATTTTCTTTATATACAGATATACAAATCTAAACTAAGAAATAAGAATTATCTTCCTTGGAAAAGAATGGAGGATGACAAACATAATAATCCTAAGACAATGATTATATCAGAGGATATGGTTGAAGAGATCTTTCAACATCTTCCAATAAAATCACTGGCTAGATTCAAAGTCTTGTCAAAAAAATGGAGATCGACGATTGAATCAACCTACTTTTCCCACAAACGACTCGTTCGTACAGGATTACCAACCCCTAATATGAAATTTCTTTATGTTAGTCGACACTTTTCAGCAAATTTTGTTGAAGAAGATTCAAACTCAACAACTTTGCTTTTGGAGACTTTTTCTAGAGATGATCACGACAACAACGGAAAAAACAGTCCTTCCTCTTCTAGTTACTACAGTTTTCCTGATGATCCAGTCGACAAATCTCAAAACGAAACTATTCAAGTATTGGGGTCTTGTGATGGATTGGTCTTGATTCGGATCTACGACGATTTTAGGTACATTTACTTGATCAATCCGACGACTGGAAAACACATGACACTTTATCCCAAATTTACGCAATGGCCATTAACTTTTAGATTCGAATTTACCGCAATGGTCGATAGACCATAGAGACAAGTTGATCAAGGAGTCTTGGATTATCCACCAGATGGTACGTTAGCTTTCTTGTTAAATAGACTTGGATTTTAACAGTCACATAGTAATAAATATATTATATACTTATTTATCAAATATAATATTATCATTTTTCTCTAATATATATATGAAGGTGAATTAGAGAAGAGAATGCCGTTTCATGCTGGATTTGGCAAAGATATTGTTACAAAATCTTATAAGGTGGTTTTGATATATACAAGATTTGGAAAAGGTGATCGTTTTTTCAAGGCCAAGGCCAAGGCCTTTTTTTTTTTTTTTTTTTTTTTTTTTCAAAGATGGTTGGTTTGCATTAAATAGAAACCGGTACGGATAGAGGGGAAATTGAATTTAAAGCAGATTTAGCTAAATCATCAGCTTTCATATTGATTTCTCTCCTAACATAAACGAAACGAACTTCAGCAAAGGTGAGAGAGATGGTGAGGATATCATGTAGAATCCCATGGAGTTCCGAAAATTGGAGCTCCCCGTTGAGCGCTTTGACTAACTGTTGTGAGTCTGAAGCGAAGAGAAGATTTGTGAATCCGAGAGCGGAAGCAGATTGGGTGGCCAGGAGAACCGCTGAAGCCTCCGCCATTAGAGGGGAGGAAACGTTGCTTGCCACTGCTCTGTCCTGGATCTCCGTTTGTCGCAGAGGATCAGAGAAAATCCAGTCGAATCCTGCATCTCGGGTGTCTTCACACCAAGCCGCGTCTGTAGAACATCTAATCGTATCAAGTCCGGTCGTCGGTACCGGAATAATCGGCTTCGGGGTCTGGCTAGCTGAATGAGTCTGAGCCCCAATCCATTCCTTTGCCAAGACAATGGCTTGAGAGAGAACATCCCCGCTTGATTGTTGTTTCTGTTCAAAGATCTTTTTGTTTTTGCAGGTCCAAATCGACCACATAATCCAAGGGAATAGGAGTCCTTTGTCAATTCCAACTGGTGGGAGACAAGTGAGATGATTTGCAGCTTCGATCCCTAGTTTGAGGTTGGTTAATTGTGCCGTCGATAAGGTGTTCTTGAAAGGGGCTTGGTCCCAGATCTGTGAAGCAAAAGGACAGGTGAAAAACAAGTGAAAACAAGATTCATCCTCACCACAATGAGGACAAGAAGCTGTAGGGTTAATTCCCCTGGCCTTTAGAGTTGATCCCACAGGGAGGGCATTCTTCATTGCTTTCCAAAGGAGGAACTTGATTTTAGGGGAGCAGTATGTATTCCAGATGTGCTTATTCCAGTTGAAGACTATAGGTTGGGAAGGAGAGTTGGAGGCTTGGGAGGGCAAGGAGGCAGCCGCATGATACCCAGTTTTTGCGCTATAATCTCCATTCTTTGTGGGAAGCCATACATATCGATATGTTTCTCCTAGCTTACTAGGTCGGAGTAGAAGGATATCTTTCTCATATTGCGGAAGATAAAGGCTTAATTTCTCTCTATCCCAGCACTTTGAAACATGGCAGATTAGATCCGCAACTTTCAAGAATTGAGCTTGTTCTGTAGGAGGACCAATAGGAGTTACTGGTGCAGTTAGAGAGATCCAAGGTTCAGACCAAACCAGGGTATCTAAACCAGATCCAATAGCTTTCCCAGTTGAAGTTTAAGCAAGTCTCTGCCAACACAAATACCTCTCCAGCCATGTGACGCTGAGGCAGAGACAGGGCAATCCAGAAATGAGGCGTATTTGCAGTACTTTCCCAAAAGAATTCTGGCCAGCAAGCAAGACGGTGACTTGAGGATCCTCCAGCTGACTTTGGCTAAAAGGGCATCATTGAAGGTAGAGATATCTTTAAATCCTAATCCGCCATCTCTTTTCGATTTAGTCATTTTTGACCAAGCTATCCAGCACATTTTCTTCTTATCGGCTGAGGAATCCCACCAGAAGCGAGTGAGAGCCAACTGGATTCTTTTACAAAGAGATCCTAGGAGTTTGAAACACGACATTGTGTAGGAAGGCATTGAGGCCAAGACAGACTTCAACATGGTGGTTTTGCCAGCTGTGGACAGGAAGCGAGAGGACCAGCTAAGTGATCGCTGTCTTATTCTGTCTATTATCTGGTTGAAAAGATCTCTCTTCTTGCGGCCAAACATTCCAGGTAAGCCCAAGTACTTCCCTAATCCGCCTGTTTTCTTAATTCCCATGATAGATTGAGCCTCTGTTTTGATGCCTTCAGGAGTTTTTGCTGAAAAGGTGATTGCAGATTTGGCCTTATTAATCATTTGACCTGACGCTGTCTCATATTTTTGCAGAATGTTCAACAGAGTCTTGCAGCTTTTTGAGTCTGACCTACAGAAGAACATCGTATCGTCAGCAAATAAAAGGTGGTTGACTCTGGGGCTGCCTTTTGCGACTCTGAGACCAGGTAAGCTTCCAGCCTGTTGAGCTTTACTGCATAAACCCGACAAAACTTCACTACAAGGTCCTATCCCTTGATAATGGTAAGCAAAGAAGCGCAGCTTTATACATTTTCAATGACCATGACTTCAGCAAAGAGCAAACATCAGTCTACGCAAACGGATCCCTCTTTTGGTTGACATTATGTGACTATAAGCAAACACTTGCAAAGCTACTAGCTATCGATTTTCACATCGAAGAATTTCGATGGATATTATTACCAAAGTGTTACACCAGATATGATTCTAGTAGAAATGTGGAATCTGAATGACCGTTTGTGCGTATCGGATGTGCTAAAATGTTCAAATTTGGTTGTTTGGAGTTTACAACAAGAATATCCTACCGTGAAATGGGAGAAAATATATTCTGTTAATATTGGATTTATAAGTACCAACCAGTTACATGAAAAGTTTTGGATGTTTGGTCTAGCGGCAGCCTATTTTTCAAGTATTAGAAATCATCGAGATCAAGTTTCTTTTTTTAGACAAAGAACGGTTTCGTATTCGCCAACAATGATTTCTCCTTCAAATTTGATGCTTTGATGTTGTTTCTACCTTCACTTGGTTAAATCAGAGAACCGTTAAGTTTTTAACAATATTATATATAATTTCAAAAGAATGTTATAAAAAATCTGTTTAGATTTATATATATTTTTAAAGTATACTCCATCTGTTTCAATTTAGACGTAGTTTAAGAATTTTGCATACTAATTAAGAAAACCATTAAAATTTCTGTTTTACCCCATATACTATGATAAGTGTTTCCAGCTGAAACAGATTCAGACTTCCTAAGTTTTTATTTCATCGTCATCAGTCACCTAGAAAATAGCCGTTTTTTACTTCAATCGAAACTGGAACTAGATCTTGAAGTGTACTCAGCCACAAGCTTAGAAAAAGATGAAGACTTATACTCAAGTAGACTCATTGGCGTATCATACTCCTCAATGATACCATTTCTTAGAAGCAGAACCATGTCGCTGTCAATAACTGAAGATATCTTGTGTGCAATGGTTATCACTGTACAATCTGAAAAGTGTTCTCTTAAAGTTTTTTGAATCAGATTGTCAGTTGCAGTGTCAACCGAAGCAGTGGCTTCATCAAGAACCAATATTTTGCTTCTCTTAAGAAGGACTCTCCCGAGACACACCAGTTGCCTCTGACCCATACTCCAATTCTCCCCATTCTCGCTCACAGATGAGTCTAGCTTTTCTTCCTTTTTTCTCACCTCATCTCCTAGTTGGCACTTGTTAAGAGCCTAAAACACAGTGCATATATTAGTCAAGACAGAACACTGTAATCATCAAAAATAAAATAAAAAACAAAAGAGTGAACCGACGCACCTCCCAGATTTGATCATCTGTGTACTCTTCAAGAGGGTCCAAGTTACTTCTCACTGTTCCTTCAAACATAGTTGTATCTTGGGGTATAATGCTTAGTCTTAAACGCAAGTCATGCAACCCAATGGTCAAAATATTCACTCCATCTATCTTGATTTCTCCACTTGAAGGTTCTACAATGCGGAAAAGAGTTTGTATCAAAGTTGACTTCCCGCTTCCTGTCCTTCCAACAATTTCTGTTCTTAAACCTCTTTTGAAAGTGCATGTTATTCCTCGCAACACAAGAGGCATATGTGGAGCATATCGGACCTAACAATGTGTCAAAATTTCCAAATGATTAAGATGGAATATAAAACTAGTGCGGGATCCATAGCACGAAATCTTGATATGAGCAAGGTAAAGATATATACCAGAAGATCAGATTTCAACTTCACCACGTGAAGGCCATGATTGCTCAGGTCGGTTCGATTCTATCACAAGAGGTGGTTCATTGGGAACACTTGCATACTGAAGAATCCTCTCTACTGATATGATTTTGTTCTCAAGATTACTGAAACTCCAAATCAGCCAAGCTTGCAGGGTATTCAAACTAAGTCCATAAGTTACAGCTAATCCCGCTAGACTTGGATCAATCACTCCAGTAGGTAAGGAGACCAAGACAACCAATGGAAAGACAAATGTAAGTGATGATAGCATTTCAAGGCGAAAGCAAAGCCATTCCATTGCTCCAGCTTTATAGAATTTGGGCCTAGAGTAACCATCACTCAGCCTCATGTTGTCAGAACGGAACCTAGATTCTTGACTGAAACCCCTGATAGTTGTCGCCCCTGAAATCGTTTCAGAAAAATGCTGAATCAAAGGGGCTTTGCATACTCCAACTAACCGTGAAAGTTCTCGTGCAGCAGCTATGTAATACCGCTGCAAAGTTGAATAAACTTATCTAAATTTTGACAGAATCAACAAATCTTATGGAAGATTGGATTGTAAAGTTTATTGTCAATACCTGATACCATATAGAGGCAGCGACCACAGGGATAAAGATGAGAAAAACAAGCCAAGAAACCTGACACATTACTCCAATGATTCCAATAAGCTGAATGACTGTGATAGCAACTGATCCAAATTGATTCGGTAATACCAAATCCACTGCCGATTGGTCAGTAGAAGCCTGTAGAAGAAAAAAAATGAAAACACAATGATTACCAGATAGATATATATATGGATATCCTCAAACAACTATGGTGGCTAGCGACATACTCTACTCATGATTCTTCCAATTGGAGTTGAATCAAAGAAAGACATCGGAGAACGGAAAATGCAGTGATGCATTTTATGAAACAGTTCAGTAGCAGTCTTGTAACCAGCGGTGACAAGAAGCGTGGCTCTAACAAGAATGCAGAGGGAACTTCCAAATGCCAAAGTAACATACACAATCATAAACGTGGAAAGTTTCACAGGACCCTGCACATCCTCAGAAAGAGGAAGTACCCCAAGCCATCCAGTAGTTACTTCCAATCTATAGAAGTTGAAAGAGAATTTGCCCCAACAACATGAAAGGTACAAGAGCTCCTCCATATGCCAGTGTGATATATTTCCAGTATACATCCAAAGCGACGCTACCTTTCGCCCTCTCTTCCTCTTGAACAAGTTGTCTTTGGGGCTCCCCAGAATCTAATTTATCGTTCTTCAGATTTTGACTTTTTTGTTCCCCATCAAAACCGATAGCATCTCTAACAACACCAATTTCTTCGTCTAAAGCTGATTTCTCAGAAACAGAACTGGCATCAACCGAACCAACTACTGTCAGAGCCTCCTGATGCGCACCTATAAGCTCCATGAAATCTGTTCCAGAGTTGAGGATATCATTATATTTTCTAGCTTGGCTTATTTTCCCATCTTTCATGACCTAGGGCATAAGAAAATCGGCTTTGGATCAGTGATGTAAAATATATAGTATAAGAAGATAAAAGACAAAACTATTCACATACCAGTATAAGATCAGCAGCATGTAAGAACTCAACTTGATGGGTTACATATATAACCGATTTGGAACATAAAAGCCCCAGTAGAGCTTCCTGAAAGAAGTATGACAATGAAAATATATTTGATACATGATTGTTTACGGAAGGAGAAATCACAATCACACAAATGGCTAAGTAAGAATATTGTACCTTAAAGAGATGTGACCCTGTGTGTGCATCCACAGCACTAAAAGGATCATCGAACAGATAGATATCCGCATCTTGGTAGAGAGCGCGTGCAATCTGTATTCTTTGCTTTTGTCCACCACTCAAATTGATGCCGCGTTCTCCAATAACGGTCTGATCACCGAATGAAAGTATCTCCAGGTCCTTACTCAAAGAACATGCTTCAAGCACGTTATTATATCATTCTATTTCCATAGGTTTACCAAACAAGATGTTGTCCTCAATTTTACCGCTCTGAATCCAAGGAGATTGTGCAACATACGCTTTTGTCCCACAAACCTTAAGACTTCTAGATATCTTGGGTACTTCTCTTAGTAAAGATGAAAGTAAGTTCGATTTCCCAGAGCCAACAGTACCACAAACTGCAACCTTCATCCCAGGAAAGACCTTGAAATTTATGTCTTTTAGAGTCGGGTTAGCAGATGAGACATCCCAAGATAAAGTGATGTTGATCACTTCTACCGCCACGTCTGAACTTCCCTTAGGAAGCCTCTCTACAATGTCAGGATGTAAATTTTCCAGAGAAAGATAGGATGCAAGTCTATCAAGAGAGACTTTGTCTGCACAATCACTGAGATAGTTTCGGGAAGACCGTAGATCGGCTCTTGTAGAATCCTGAAGGTTGCAAGTGCGGAGAGTATCTTTCCTGATTCAAGAGGAATTCCAAGAAGTACACAAGCACCAAAAGTGCAGACTGACACCATAGTAGGAGCTCCCCAGAAAACAAAGCTTATAACAGCCGAGTTATATACATACTTTTTCAGCCATCCTTAATCTTGGAGAGAAACTTCATTTCCCATCCCTGAAGCTTGAGAATCCTCATGTTTCTTAAGATCTCAGATGTTGATTTCATCCTGCTATCCTTAGCTTCCATTAACTTCTCCTGAAACCTCTCTTGCATTCTTCCGAATGGATAATTCACAAGCATAACTAAAACGGTAGCAACCAAAGCCGCTATTGATGCTAGTCCAAGATTTCTATACAAGATCCACATAGCTAGACCGACTTGGAAAAAGATCATCCATGGGTCATGCATGTACCAACTAAAAGTACCAATCTTCTCAGCATCCACAGTCATGAAATTTATTATCTCACCACTTGTGCGCCATTGCTTTGACTGGCATGAAAGGGTCAGACCCTTTTCATATATCATTGCAACCAAGGCTGATCTCCACCTAATACCAATATTTTGTGCCCTAAAGAACCAATGTCTCTAGGTCAGCAATCACTTGCTTTTGAGAAAATGAGGAAATGTACTAGACTATTGAAGCTTAATATAGGTAATGTACTAGACTTTAAGGGGAAAAGAGTTTGAACCATCATTATGTAGTGTTTAGAGTTTTGCTGCCTAATGATGCCCTTAGACAATTGACCACGGTCTAATGCATTGTTGTAGTCGAGTGATAATTGTACATGTTCTGAGTAAGAAAGCTGATTCTTTGTTCTTGTTCTTTCCAAGAATCCAAAATCTTATTGAGTTATTTACGTAGACCAAGATTGACTTGTGTTACTGTGTATCAAGGGCTCAGTACTGTGTAGTCAGAAACTTGTATTTCAATGAAACAACATAAAGAAAGATCTTTATCAGAAACTTCCAGCTGGTACTATAATCCTTAAGAATGCTTGAGTTTGATGAATTGTATCAAAACAGCTAAGTTGATCTCAAACTAACTTTTGTGTCTTAACATGAAACTAATATTAGTCCTCTGTTGCGCGAACAAGAAATTTCTTTTTCATGTCCGTATTGAAAAGCCTTCTTCAAGACACTCAGTTCTTAGATCTTCCATGAGACCCTGAAACATAGATGGATCGCTCGTAACAACAGCATCCACACCTAAGTGAAGCATCCTTTTCATCGGATCAGCATCATCCACAGTCCATGCGTAAACATCTTTGTTTCTCCTGTTGATCAGATCAAGCAAGGTTGTGAACAGATGAAAAATGAGGGCTGGGTGTGTGTTTTCAGTTGAAAGCATTGGAACCTACTGCTTACCGACGCACAAGTCTAACTAATTCTTCATCGATTAAGGGATGATAGACTCCCACAACCCTAGCTCCCTTCATTCTTAGCAGGTTGCTTCTCACCCCAGTTGAATGATCCACCATCACAATGTATCCTACCTGCCAGATAAAATTAAGTACTGTCACAAGGAATGAGCAAGAAACTGGTTCCCAACTTCTCTATTGAAATAACCAATTTCTACTTACTGTAGTATCTGGTGCTTGCCTGATTATGTCTCTAGCCAAAGTGTCGCTTTTGGCCCATACGATGCAATTCTTGCACTGCGCTCTCTCAATCTAACAACAGAGGATTGACGATTCAGATAGGCAAAGCCATAAATACCACCATCAAAACATCAACAATTATCCATACTCTGTTTTTCAAGTATCTATAATAAGCTAGCTCTGTGTACAAAGATACAAGGAGAGAGAAAATTAAGCAAGCTCTAAAGGAATCAGAACCTCTTTCTGATGCAGATCTTGATAAGGGGAAAACTAGATCTCTTGCACATTGTACTAAAGCTTTACAAGTACAAAGAGCTAATAAGTGATAACATAGTACTTACAACAGAAAGAATGTCTTGTGCAAGGCCCTTTTCATACATTGGCGGTCCAACTTTCGCATCAAGAATCACTTTCCTGACTGAATTCGATATCAACTAGATGATTGAAGATCAAAACTAGGTTCAGCCACTTGTTACTGAGCAGAAATTACAAAGCAAAGCTCGACAGATAGCGATAACAAGAATCGCAACGTTAAAGGCATTACCGCTAAAGCATCTTCAAGAGTAGGAATCCTACGATTTCCCAAGGTTCCTTTAACAATCTCCGAGATATCAAGTTCCTTGATCTGCAAAAAGATCATCATCAAAGGTTAAATAAAAATGGATGCAAAAAAGCACATCTCAAAAGATAGTAAATAGAGAGAGGAGACCTGTTTCATACTCAGATCTCCAACTTGAACAGAAGAGTTACGAGCAATACGCTGCAGATCCCTGACTGTGCGTTTGATCAGAAGATGAATTTACAACTCCGATGAGAATCCAAACACAGAAACAAAAGAAGAGGATACAACAAGGATCAGAGTCTGTAACCTGTTGTGGAGAGCAAATAAAACACCATCGGAGGAACGAGAAACATCTACTTCGATGCAATCAACTCGAGAACGGATAGCGAAACTGTAAGCATCCATCTACGATTGAGAGGAGTAGAGAGATTTAAGGTTTAAGAGTGTGAAGAAGATAAAAAAAAAAAAAAAAAAGAGATCGAGAGAGTTTACAGTGTTGGGGAAAGCGAGAGTTGAATCGCCGCCGTGAGCACAGACAAGTGGAGGATGGTGAAGCCAATCGCACTTTTGCGCGACAATCTGACGAATTCGTCTGAGCTTGAAATGGAAGTAGAGAGGAGGGAAGATGGCTAAGAAAGCCACAGCGAATAGAATTGTTCTCTTGAAATTTCTCGAATACAATGGCCTGAAGAAAAGACGGCGGCGAGTTCCTCCGCCGTCGAGTGGCCGTCTTCTCTGCCGCCGCCATTCAATAATCGCCATTAGCTGAAGACAATAGAGGTTGTTACTTGTTAAGGAGCTAATGAAGACGTTTACTGCGATTGATAACGATGTTCACCAATCACCATCAAACTTGTGTATTTTTTGATAATTTCTATAAATTATTTTCACTTCACAATTTTTGCTACATTCGCAAAAAATTTAGTTACTAGAGATTGAAAAAGAAAAAACAATTTTATTCTCATTTGTTCCATATCTCTAGAGACAGTAATGTTAACCCATATAATAAAATTAGACGTTTAAAACACAAAAATAAATGAAAAAGAAAAAACAAATCATTTCCTAGTCTTATCAAGAACTTCAATGTATCTCTTTGGAACTCCATAGTGTTCCACCATATATCTCGCAAGATTATCGATCACACCTCCTTGAATCAGAACCTCGTACCCTTTCTTACCTGAAACAATCATCTCTCAAATAGTTTATTCACTTACACAGATGAACAAAACAAAAAGGATAGATTTTAAACGTACCTGGAAGTTCTCCAACTGAAGTACTGCAAGCAAACTTCTTCTGCAGTTCTGATCCAAACGAGTCTGGGTCTATCAAGAACGTCTCCATCCCTGTGACCTTGGTCACCTTTTTGTTACCTTGTCTTCGTTCTGTCATTATCTGAACCGGCTTTACAGCTCCTTTACGAACCACGGGTTCACCACCGCCTCTCATGACTACGTGATTAGGCTGCATCCTCCCTACAAACGTCGATCCAACATCCTTTTTGTGAATCTCTGACGGATATGCAGATCCCTTTTTGATAGCTCCTTTGAACAATGCATCACATAATATCGGATCCAACACCACCATTGACTTGTTTGCTGGCTTTACCAGGTTTTCCTTCTCGATGTATCTGAACACAACATCAGTGGCTTCAGAAGCTGTGTACAGATTTCCTTTGTCTTCCCCAACTGATGCAAATATTGCACTGTTGTGTATGCTCGGTTTATAGACCTCTATGATTTCAAGCATTTTCTCTGACTGAGCTTGCCCTGTGGAGCGCTCTCCAGGAGACTCAGAGACTTCCGCTTTCTTTTTCTCTGGCTTGAAGGATTTGTAATCTGGGTGGCTGCGGTTGACTGAAATCAATACAATCTCCTTCTTATGCTTGTCTTCTTTAACAGATATCTGCGCATATATTTCAAAGATTGTGACAGAGTGTAGTGGCCAATCAAGACACCAAAGCAAATCTACTAGCAATTATGAGTATATCAGGGTAAATGTAAATGTACCAATGTGTTACATACAGACTTTTAAGGAGATACAGCTTACAACACTTGATACTAATAGTTTCCTAAATTGATAAACCAGTTGGTTTTTGCAGTTAAACATCTACGAAAAACATCTACTAAGTTATATCAAAATATAAAATCAAGCAAAAAAATACCATAATACAAGGGAAATTAGTAAGAAAACTGACCATTCCAGCAGACGCTTTAGATTGCAGCCACTTTGACAGCTTTTTATGGGAAGACTTCTTAATGTCAAGTGTGAGACCAGAAGGCCTACAAGGTAAAACATGATTTGCCCTGCACCACTCACAGGAAAACATTTGTAAGCCAAACTTAGAAAGGAGAAGGAAAACAGACAATTCCAGGTGTCCAGCTTGTCACTGACGGAGTCAAGAGTAACACAAATATGAACGGAGGTTCAGAGCATTATAAAACAACCCAATCAATCATAATAACACAACAAGGTAAAGCGGGATTGCATACAACAGTAGGTACACCACCAACCTAATACCAGAATATAGTTGGCTTTCCATGTAACTAAAATATTTGAATGGTGTTCTTACCAAAGAGTACTTCCTGGGATGGGAAGGTCCTTCTCCTTTAGAGTTGTATGAAATGCTTGCAAAAGGCATTGGTCAAGAAGGGCATCTACCTCCTCAGGGGAGAGAATATTCTGCTTGTCGGTATTTGCTTCATTAGCAGAAACATCATCTGATAAGTTCAGCTCATTCATGGTTCCAACCAAATGTTCTTCAGTATCATTCTTAGCATCCGTAATAGAGGTTGAAGGACCAATATTATTCACATCATCAGATTCACCTTCAATTTCTGTGCTTGTCTGAGGACCAGCTGAAGAGTCTGAGATTTCTTCAACTGAACCAGAAGCAAGGTACGATGGGTCCTCCATGACAACATTCTCCATAAAACCAGCATTTGGAACGTAGTGCCCCTCAGCTGATTCCCTGTGAAACACCTTCCGCATGTAAGAAACTGAATTCCTTCAAAGATAAGAACAAGAAGAGAAAAAAAGCAAGCTGTTGCCAGCATCTCATGTACCAAAGGAAGTCACGGTAATAATGAGTTATCCGTAAAGCCTTCCCACGCAAACCTGCTTTAAGGGCTTCTTCACTACTCATTGTAGTACACCCAACCTTCAAAAACATGCATAACCATGATGTAACTCAAGACAATCACTTCACCCTCGCGTTACGAAGAATTACATCGGTTAGCAAAAATATAAAGAGAGAGACTAACCGCAATAGGTGCCAGATTTCCAGGAACTTTGACAGCCCATATTTGTCCAGCAGAGAAAGAAGGAAAGCCTTGGGGAGGGATCAAAATACCTGGGAACATCAAATCTGCACCACCTAAAACATACCGTGAAACCTCACCTCCTTTCAACATAAAGGAAGGTAACATTTCAGGAGCCTCCCAGAGAGCAAAAACTGCAGCAGAAGAAGGAACAAAATACAGCAAATCAACTTGAATTTGATATTGATCAAAGCTAAACTACTCCATTCATATGGCCATGTGTTTGAAACCTGTGGGGAATATCTCAGTCCCTCTTCCATCGATATCGAAAAACATGGGACATCCACCTTCAATACTATAAACAAGAACTCGATTCTGAAACTTGGAAAGAGTTATCTCGACCTAGACGAAACAATCAATGGAAAAAGTAAGCAAGAGTGTACCGACGCAATCAAATCGAGATTCAATCAGATGACAGAATCAAAAAGAGAAATCAGACCTTGGGAGGAAGAATCGCGTCGAGGAGTTCATCGGTTAGAAGGGGAAGCCTATTTCGGACGGTGCGACGGAGTTTTTTCCGGTCAGCGCCGGAGAGACGCTGGTGAGACTTAGCCTCCACCGCCTTCTTGAACATTCTGTTCGCCTGTAGTGTCGCTTTACCACCGCGGGACTCGAACCAAACCAGACCAATGTCGTCTCTCCTTCTCTTAAACCCCTTTTTTTTTTTCGGTTACTTTTTTCCGGCTTCGCTTCTAAGCCTGCCACGTGTCTCTTGCATTGGCAATTTCTAATTTCACCGAACCGGTCCAGAATTGTAAGTCGATGTAACCTCTAGGCCTTACGGTTTTCACTGATAATTAAAAAAATCGGTGAATCAAATAAATTTATCGATTTAGGCATTTAAAATCGGTATTTAAATCGGTTAAATCAGCCAAATCATTTCAACTGTCTGTTTATTTGTTCGTTTGGTTGGTAATCAAAGCCCGTATCAAATAAACCGGAATTTCGGGGACAACAATACTAATCTTCCATTGAACCGGACAAAACTCTTGTACATATTTGAAACCTCATAGGCACAGAAATAACTTTATCTAGTTATCTTCTATAGTTTTATTGGGTATATAGAAGACTCAACTTAACTCTACAGTAAAAACGAAAACAAAAGACCAAAACTGAGAACTCTTCTCTCATCAAAGTGACAAAATGAACAGAACGAATGTGGAGCTTATCAATAACAGAAGCCAAGCCAAGCCACCTGGATTCTCTGCTCGACCTCTCCCCTTACCAAGAACCACGGCTACAACTGCTATAGCCCCAAACCCGACACAGATTGTGAACACAACCACACATTTCTTCTCCATCCACTCCATTCTTTCCAACACTTGCTCTAACCTCTCCTTAACTTTCCCTTTCTCATTCTCAGCCTTCTCAAGCTCTGTCTCCACTCTCCTACGCCACTCCCTCATCTCCATCGCCTCCTTCTTCGTACTCTCTTCCCTCTCCTTCATTCCTTCTACCTCCAGTCTCATAGTCTCCACCTCCTTCTCTCTCTTGTTCGCCTCCACGTCCATCTCCTTGAATATCATCCCGTATTTCGAGCTCCGCTCCTCCAAGTAACTCTCAAGAACTGATAAGCTTACGTCCAGCGACCTTATCTTCTGCATCAGTATCTTCAGGACAGTGTCCCCCGGCATTCTGCTTCCTGGTTGATGTTTTATCTCTTCCACCGGATCTGGCAGCTTTCTTCTCTCAATTGATACTTCATCTTTCACAACCGCATTCTCTGGTGAGGCTTCTTGTTCCTTCTCCTTCTGTTTACTCTTGTCTTCATCGCTTTCAAATGACTCTTTTGCTTTTATTGTCTTCTTCTCTTTCTGCTCAATGTCTCCTTCTTGGGGTTTCAATATGTTCTTGTCTTGGATTGATATCAAATCCTCCAGCATTCGTTCCACAGCGTCCACTCCATAGACTTCTAGTAAACTCAAGGTGCAATAGAATTCTGAACCATAATGGCTTAGCAAGTTTAGCTTTAGATATCTCACCCATTTGGGATCTACAAGTGTAAAGTTCTGCTCGTGCTTCATGTTTAAAGCCGTGAAGTTCCCTAGATGAACCCACGTATCAGTCGGGTAAACCAAGGTGCCCAAAATCTCAAAATCCTTCAGATTGGAAGAGTAATGCTCGAAATTTGCAATCTTGATTGTGTTCACCAACGTTTCTTCTGAAAGTTCTATGACAACGAACTTTCCTTCAGTAGAACACGGGTTTCGGAGATACTTGTCTTTGTCCCGGCATATGATGCTTGAAGCTCCTTTTGCTTCCTTGTTAGAAGATAAGACCTTTGCACCTTTTGAAGCAGCTGCGTAATTGTACTCTTTCCCACCAGGCTCCATCCTATGAATAACGCCAGTGACTTGGCCTGACAAAGATTTGTCTCTAGAAATAGACGCTCTGCTCTTAAACTCATCAAGGCCAAGCGGAACAGCACGAGATAGCTGATCAAGCTTTGAACCAGTGGTCTCTGTATCATCCCCTGGAACTGTGTTATTATTTATCTCACTTTCCTTCATAGACTCATTGTCTTTGCTTTCTGTAACGTTTCCTGCGATAACGATTGTGTTATCGACTTCTATTTGCTTCAAGATGGTTTCGGAGCCTTTGATTTCTCCGGCTGCAGCTATATCAACATCCAGACTCAAATCAGGAGTAGAATGAACAGAGGCAGACTCTAGTGATGGTGCATCAACAGGCTTAGCTGTCTCATCTGCCCTTTCATCATCTGGTTCACCATTTTCAACTGCATCCACTAAAGATCTACCTGCAAATGCCCAAGAGTAAGCCTTAGATACACTTAAGATATGGTCTATACATTTTCATGATTGTCATACTTAAAGCTCAGTTTTTTTTTAACCATTTTCTAATAAATGTTTTGCATTCTGTCCAAATTAGGAACTCAAAAAGTTACCTTTGTCACCATCTACATGACTGATCCACAATGTAGATAAGAAGACAAGACCCCATATGAGAAAAACCAGAGACAATGAAACTTTGTAGAAGCGATTCCTTCCATTAGAAGTAGTCTCAGAAACTCTTCTTCTAACCAGAAGAGCTCTCCGTGATCTTTGCATTTCACATCCAACCAAGATCAGATCACCAAACAAAAACTAAATGGACTGTTCACACCTGTTCATAACGATGCACATCAGATTCACAACTAAAGCAAAATTGTATAAACTAAACAAGAGAAACAAAGATCTTATACATACAAGCAAAAAGAACAGAGCACTTGATTCAAAGCTGCAAAATTTACAATGAAATCGAAAAAAGATAACGACCCAGAAAACAATTTCCAGATCCAATTGAGAAAGACGAAGAATTGACGAGAAAGTAGTCGGAGTAAGAATTACCTGAGAAGCGAATCGGAGATTGAAGAAGACAAACCGAAGGAAGAAGAAGATTCGGGAACCTTCTCCGTGACAAAACCCTTTTCAACGCCGACGTCTCCGATGAGTCTCCGATCTAATGAAACCCGGTCGATGAAATTCCGACGATCTACCTCGTCTCTGCATCACAATCGATGAAACGCACCTTAATCTCTCCCACTTTTTTCACGGGATTTATAGAAGTCGTAAGTTTTTTAACCGTTGTGGTGTAAAAAAAAAGGTGAAGAGTCAAAAAGAGAGACTTTCAAAAATTGAAAAACCGCGGAAGAATCTGTAGAGTCGACAGAACTGATCCGCGACAATGGACAGAGATGGGTCTGTGAGAAGAGAGTTTGGAGCAAATGTGTAATATACACATAAGATGATTGTACCGGTCAATCATTTTGAATTTGCAATTAATTTCTTTACATTTGTTTCCTTACTACTATATCTTACCTTCTAATCAAATTATGTGCTTAGCTGTAAAGTGAATCGTTTTCAAATATATAAATTATCATATTTAGCTTTACGTTTTGACTTTTGACTTAAGATATTATTAGATTTCCTTCTTTTATTTCTAAACAAATTACTATCTATATATACATTTTTGGAACACTTTTAGCAAATAAATCCTGAAGTTGGACAGTATTTACAAAGAATGCCATTGGCATTTATTATTACTTTTACAAAATTTAAATAAAAGATATTAACCAAACAATATCTTGCCTAATTTGTTTCTAAAAATCTCTACACAATCTTTCTATATATCTTCAAAAAAAATTATAGCAAATATTTATATTAACATTTTGCATAGCAATAAAAATACTAATTTATAATAATCAAAATATTCACATAGAAAAATCAAATACACATACAGGAAAAAGAACTATATCTATCATCATTTAGGGCCTGATTGGCAAGTGCTTTACAGTCTTTACAAAGCAAAAAAATTTCTAAAGATTTGAAATACATCCAATCAAGCTTTAGAAGCTTTAGCTTTCCTTTTTTTTCTCACAGCCAAAATATTTCCTTAATTCACTTTTTTGGCTGTAGAAAGCCTTTTTTCCTAAATCACATAATTTTCAACTTTCCAAAATTTTAAATTCTACAGCCAAAATTCTACAGCAATAAAATCTACAGCCACAGCAAATAAACCTACAGTCATATTTCTACAGCAAAAAATGTAAAGCTACAGCTGTTACCAATCAGGCCCTTAAGCTGTTGCTTTATTTAAATAAATAAAAAAACACAAAAACTTGAAATCATATACTTTATATGATAAATTTAAAATATATATTAGTAGTATAAATTTAAAATTGTTCAAAGAACGGTATACTACGGGTGAGATCCTAAAATTATTAGATTTTATAACAATAATAATTTATTTTCTTGGATTTTATAATACAAATAATTTAGCTAACGAGATAATATAGACGGGTTTATATGGGATGACGGATTTGGGTCGATATAAATAAATAACGGTATATCACGGATGAAATCCTAAAATTAACAATCAAAATATAATTATACAATCTTAAACACAAAACAAAAGAAACAATATTAACAAAACAAATCCAACTTAAATTTAAAATTTTTAGTTATAAAAAAACGACCCACGGTATACTGCTGAGTAAAATATTCAAAATTTTAAAATCCACTATACATCGTTACTTTTAAAAAAATGTATGTTTTCGTATCTATACTTCAAAAATTGATAGATAGATATCTACATTTAAAAATACAAATTAATATGATATATCTTCAGTTAATCTTTTAAAAAATAACATTACATTTTTTTAAAAAAATATAGCTCCGCGGTATACCGCGGGTTAAATTCTAGTTCATGAACATTTTTTTGTTTTTTTTTCAGTTTATGATTTGATTTGGTTAGATAAATTACATATGGGGAGATTGCCAATTTTTTTATTTTTTTTTAGATTGCCAATTCATTTGTGGGGTTAATGGACATGGATGTAGTTATAGCCATTATAGTATTGGCCAGTAAATTATTATACTTCGAGAAAGCAAAATTACTACGAAAAAAACAATTGCAAAACTTTTTATAATTAAAAGAAACAAAATAAACTTGTTTTATATATCTATCATACATATATGAAAAATACAGTTACGATTGAGTTATCTTTATTGTTGTGACAGAGTTTTATTTTATAGTTATGATAAATTTAAAAACAAATCTACCAAAAATATTTTGAGGCCTATATCTATCTATCTATCAATAAACATAATTTTGGTTTCCTGATTTTCCGTTTGTCCACAATCACTAATTTAATTATCAGAGTAAAAACCACCATACCAATATTACTTAAGATATAAGTTATACTTCGAATAATTTGTTTTGTATTACAATTTAAAATCAACGAGCAATGAGTTAACATTCTATAACAGTGTTATCGTATATAGTAGCAAACAAAAGAAGCAAGTTTGAAAAGTTGAATAAGTTAACGTACTATTTTTGTCATGTGAAATAGTTCTTACTTCATTCATATCTAAAATAGTGCTTCGGTACAATAATAAAATTTGAAAAATCAAATACCAGCTTCGATTGCTCCCTTCTTCTCAGACACCTGGCGTTTTCATTTGCGTCGACCTCGCCCTGTGGCCGACCTCCTTCTTACATTTTTACTCTTTTTTTTTTTCTTCTTCAGACACCTGGATGTAATTTTTTTTCTCATTAGACAAAATATTTGGACTTTTTGTGGATTTTAATAAATGTGATGTTTTTCGTGTTATGTATGGCGTAAATTTGTTAGTAACCAATTATTAATGGGATTCCAAATGAGAGTGAAGATCTTCTGTACATAATACTTTTGAAATTTGTCAAGCAACCCGTTACCGATTCATTCATAGGTTCTATAATCTATGTATACATGATGGCTAAAGATCCAATAGACAAATTTTCAGTCCGGTGCTAAGTTCTAGTTAAAAGATCCGATAGACAATTTTTTTGTTTGTCAGACTGGTTTACTTCTGTGATTAATCGGACGATTTGTTGGTTATGCTATGTTTTAGACTTAATCCTGGATATCACTATCAGTCTAATGCAAGAATATGAAAAATTTAAAATAAAAGAGCGGGTAGATTTTTCACATAAATAAAAAATAGGCCCAAAGAGACATCTCTTATATTATTAAGGTTTCGGAGACCCAAACTGGTCACCGGTTTAGGTCGGAAAAATCGAACACAAAACCAAACCGATTCGATCAATACGCTGCGTTTTGATGTCTCTTATAAAAACTAAAAAGGTCACTGTGGAATTAACGGCTTTGTTTAAAATATTTATCAAACGCGTAAAAGAATTAAATAAGACCACGAGAAATATTTCTGCCGGGTCCATTAATATTGGGTCTTAGCCCATTAAGAGGTTTACATTAAAATTACTTTTTCCTTTTCTGATTTTCACGTTAGGCTTAAGCCAACGGATCTTTAACTAACAATGGAACTACACATCGGAGATCGTGGCGGTGGCGGTGGCGGTGGCGGTGGCGGTGGCGGTGGCGGTGGCGGAATCAATTTCAAGCCGAACGACCGGCGGCGAAGTACGCCAAAGGTCCGACGAACGCGGCGTTGATGTAAGTCGCCGGTTCTGCGTGGCTGTAATCGTCTCTCTGATCTGGATACCCATCGTTTTGATTTGGACCTCCTACGATTGCTCCTGTGAGAATGTTAGGGTTAGGGTTTTGAGTGTAGAATGATTGGAATCCGCCATTGCAGCCTAAGGAATGGGAATGAAGTGCGTGTGAAGGAAGCGAAGATGCTCTGTGGTGGATTCGCTTAGGGAAATTGGATCCGAATCCAACCATGTACGACATTTTGATTGGGTTATCTCCAAGTATGTAATCGACTTGTCGCTTCGATAGGCTTATCAAGGCGTTGGGGACGATAACGGAGTTTCCGCAGTTGAATGTGTGTTTTGTGGATTTCATGTATTTGGCATAAGTTGTGAGCAAGAATGTTATTGAGGTTACGTATTGAAGATTGCTTTGAGGTAACTTGTACATTAATCCTCCTGTAATTGGTAAAACATGTAATTAGTAAGCATGAAGAGGTTGTTGTTTAGCAATTTGTGTTCGAGATCATGAATTAGGTTACCTTGAGTGTATTGGGTAGAGGAAGAAGGAGAATCTGGAAGGATTTTGCAGATGAAATTCTCAGCTGCTTGCTTGTATTGTTCAAAGTTGCTGTCTTTGTTAAGTAATGCTCTCTGCCACAAAGTAAACAGATTTTGTTTGTGAATTAGTGAGTCAGATAGTGTGTTGCTATAAGCTATGTTCTCTATGAGTTTTTATTAGCAGAGAGACAAACCCGTGACAGAAGAACATAGGCACCAGCATATTTATTGTCCCAGCTGAAGATGTCAGGCTGATCTCCACCTCCTAACGATTTTATGAAGTTTGCGTAATAAGGGTCATTCGTTGCTCTTAGCAGCCATGACGCACCCCACATCAGCTCGTCCTGTGTTCATAAATTCACATTTTAAAATGAGGATCTGATGTAGTGGTAAGAGTGGTTTAGTTTCATATGAAAGCAGACCTTGTAACCAGAGTAGGAGCAGTAGAAAGGACAGACGGATGAAGAAAGGGAATCACTGTAAGCTCCCCTGTACTGAATGGCAAACTGCATCACATTCTTAGCTGTTGCGAGCAGCAAACGTGAATACTTAGAATCAACTTTCCTGAAAACCATAGACGCTGCAGCCAGAGCTGCTGCTGTTTCAGCTGCGACATCAGAACCAGGGTTAGAAGGGGATACAGAGTAAACTGTACGAGGTGTGTCCATGTCCTCAGGCCGTTCCCAGCATTTGTGATCAACATTAGGATCTCCTACCCCAACATAAAGCTTTCCGGGAGTGGCTCTAGCACATTTCAGCAGATAATCTGTGGCCCAACGGATGTTCACTCGTGCATTTTCCAGCTCAGGACCCATCCGCTTACCGTATTCCAGTGCGCTCCATGAGAGCATAGTGGTGGTAAACGCCATTGGGAAATTGAACTTGACGTTGTCTCCTGCGTCATAGTACCCACCGGTTAAGTCCACCTGCAATTCATATAATTCTCCTGCTTAATTAGTTATAAATGTTACTAACAAAGATAAATTCTGTATCAAGTTAAATATGGTTTAGGGTCTGTACATGAGCAGCAGAGCCATCGGAAAGGCCGGAGCTAGCCCTCCAGGAGAGTTGTTGGCCTCTAGGAAGAGGACCGGATCGCTGACCTTGGAAGAAAAGCAATGACTTGGAGAGAGCTTCTTTGTAATTTGGGTTGGCATCAACATTGCCTATGAGAAGAGACGAGAAAAGGAAAACAAAGAAGAAAGGAGAAGTCATTGTCCAAACACAGAACTTAATTGCTTTTGAGGTTTGAGGTACGAATCTATTACGTGAAGGTCTACATATATATACAGAGAGGTAGAGACAGAGAGATAAGAGAGAAGGATCCTGCGCTGATGGAAGCGTTAATTATGGCTTTTTGGTTATCAACGTGCTGCTCCTAAACAAAGTAACCTTAATTTCTCCAATCTAAATACTCTTTTTTTACTATTTTATGGTTTTAGTTGATACCTTAATATTGCTTAACCAAATCCTCTTTTTAGTCTATTGTTAAACTTTAGTCGTTTCACCTTTGTTTATCCATTCAGATTCCTCTTTACGTTTTTCTTATATGTCAATTGTTAAATCTTTTCTTAAAGTGTTGAAAAACGGAATAAATTAAACTAGGTTTTGCTACTAGTGGGGGCATTGGGAAGCAAGAAAGTCTTAATAGTCTCCTATTTCCTAAGTAGTAGTATTGGTACATGAATGGAACGAAATATAAACGCACGTAATGACTTTGCGTCTTCTCGAAAATATACTGTTATAGTCAAATGCCAAATGCAAAAGTGTGACTTTTTTTTCTAAAAAGACGAGGAGTTTTCAGTTTTGTGATATCTATGTAATTTGCATTTTGTTGGAATCAAATCTTTTCGTAGGAGTTAATACGTTGAGCAATCTTATTTCAAATTAATGTGCATTCATTAACTGTATTAAAGTTTCATTTAACATCAAAATAGATTCTAGAAAAACAACTAACGTTTCATTTCATTCATACCTAAAAATGGTGAAAATGTCCCTTTTTGTAAAATATTGAACCGAAGGTTTGTTATTTTTACAGTTACTAGTTACTATAAACATACTAGTTTCGGGTAAATTGGATGTATTGTAGTAGATAATGTGTTCATATATGGGTTTAGTTAGGTAATGCATAGTTAAATTAGGTTAGGGATTAAGGGATTTTGAATTTAAAAAGAGGAGACAAAAGATAAGACGGAAGCGTGAATGGCGCCAAGATAACGGCGCTGAGTCTTGTTACTTAATCAAAAGTGTGTGTTAAGACGAAATTGATGCCTTAATCCACTACTTATTTGTCCCTCTTTTTATGCATGTTTTTATTATAGTATTACTCTCTTTATTGGCTTTGCTTTTTTTCATGGGACATTCTTTTTTTAGTTTGTGTAATAACAAAAGCGAATAAAAAGGGGATAACGTGTCTGCTCGATGTCATTGATCTTCTGACGTTATATGAGTTAAGAGAATGATTAACATGGGTATAATATATTTACCAATGTTTAAGTAGACGCGTGATGAAAGCTTTAGGTATTACTTATTAGTAATTGTAATCATTCGATGTCACTAGTAGTAATCAGGACTCAAAAATATCATACTATTATTTTTCTCCCGTAAAGATTAATCATTAATGGTTGTTTGCATGAGAATAATAGATCAAGAGAGATTTCAAAATTAAGCAACAGTTTCTCTCGTCTTTTTCTCACACATGCTTTAGTCGTTTACTCCTGGTGGCCCTACCCACTAATACTACTCGAAGAATTTTCGTTGGTTTTGTTGGCAAATGATTTCTTATCCTTTGGCGCTAAAAAGGTGTTTTTTAATATATTTTAAATGTTTTGCAAAATCCTTTTTATTCTTTCATGTTTGTAATTCTGAATGGCTTTCACATTTGGTTGATGAGGACAAACAGTGGATTGCTTCCACGACTATGCGAGGAAAATTTTGGAGGCTATTTTTCGCCGAAGATTTGACTGCTATAGTTGGACTTGGATCCTCAAGTATATTTGATAGATTCAAATGAGTTGGATTATTATGGATTAAAATATTAACCATTTGACTCTTTCTTTGTAATAAATGTAGTTGTATTATATAGATGCATGACTATGTTATCATGGATTAAAATGAGCACATGTATGTAGGCCATTCGTATTAATGGGCCTTCACAGGCAATCAATTTGGAAACCAACCACACAGGCCACAAGGTTTAGTTTTTGAGTCAATTTCTTCCTTTTAGCTTGATACAGTACTACTTTTCATCTTGTTGATGCAGAAATCAGTGTATGTTGCCGGAGTTAAAAGGCAGTGTTAATTTCTAAGTCTTTTGATTTGTCAAATCAATATTTGATGGACATTTTCTAGCCATCTATAGAAATCTATGAAGAACGATGATCTATTTTGTTTAGGAATAGAAATTGGCTAAGCTTTAAGAGATATTTTAAACAAGATTGAATGAGTCAATATAATAGGGTTTACGTGGAAAATTTCGAGACACGTGATACAAGTTTCATTGATGATAAAGCGACTTGAAGATTTTGACAAAATCAACCGAAATCCACTAAAGAGTTTCTTCTTCTTAAATAGAGCCAATGAAGCATACGCATAACTCATTAAGCAACAACACAAACTCAAAAAACAGATATGATGATTCTAAGCCATTGTTATTGCTTTTCTAGTATTATTATTACCATATATTTCTCCCTCCTAATCCATACTCTTGCTTCTCCTATGCTTCACTTTTGCCGCCATGACCAAAGGGATGCTCTTTTGGAATTCAGAGACGAGTTTCCGATCAATGAGTTGAACCCAAGTCCGTGGAATAAGAGCAGTGATTGCTGTTTTTGGAAAGGTGTCACGTGCGATGATAAATCTGGCCAGGTGATAACACTCGACCTTTACACATCTCTCAACACCTCTTTGAAAACCAATAGTAGCCTTTTTAGACTCCAATATCTTCGTCACCTAAACCTTAGTAATTGCTTTCTACAAGGAGAGATTCCTTCTTCAATAGGAAATCTTTCTCGTCTCACATTTATTGATCTTTCTTGGAATAAATTGTTAGGTGAGATTCCGGCTTCAATAGGCAATCTAAACAATCTAAGAAACCTTAGTCTTGGGTATAACGATCTCGTAGGAGAGATTCCTTCTTCATTAGGAAACCTTTCTCGTCTCATAAGTCTTGAACTTTCGAATAACCATTTGGTAGGTGAAGTTCCGGCTTCTATGGGAAACCTGAACGAGCTAAGAGTCATGTCACTTGACTTAAACAGTTTTAGTGGCAAAATTCCTATTTCCTTTGCCAATTTAACCAAGCTTTCCTATTTAAACCTAGCTTATAATAACTTCACATCCACGCTTCCATTTGATATGAGCGGATTCTATAATTTGAGGTACTTTGATGTTGGTTCAAACTCATTTCACGGGCCTTTTCCTAAATCTTTGTTCTCTATTCCTTTGCTACGAACAGTTATATTGAAAGAAAACCAATTCACAGGACCTATAGAGTTTGTGAATACATCTTCAACATCTAAGCTTTGGGAGACTAACGGGAGTGACGCTTTCTCACAATTCTTTCAGTAGTTTGGAAAACTCTTCACAAGAAACATTGATCAAAGGATTGGATTTGAGTTCGAATTCATTTCAAGGACCGTTCCCTCTTTGGATATGCAAGCTTAAATGGTTACGTCTTTTAGATTTGTCCAACAACCTCTTCAGTGGCTCGCTTCCTCCATGTTTAAGGAATCTCACTGTTTCTCTTACCGAGCTAACTCTACGGAACAACAACTTCAGTGGAACTCTTCCAGATATATTTTCCAATGCTACCAAGTTACAATTATTGGACGTTAGTGGCAACCAGCTGGAGGGAAATTTTCCAAAGTCTTTGATCAATTGCAAAGCTCTACAATTTGTGAATATGGAAAGCAACAAAATCAAAGACAAGTTTCCATCATGGTTGGGATCTCTACCATCACTAAATGTTCTCATCTTCAGATCAAACAAGTTTTATGGGCCGTTGTATCATGGCAACATGTCCATTGTGTTTCAGAGTTTAAGGGTCATCGATATATCACACAATGACTTCACTGGATCTCTCCCACCTCACTATTTTTCCAATTGGCGTGATATGACCACACTAACTGAAGGAAATGGCGAGTACATGGCAAGTCTTCCAGCTTATTCTCTAATATATCAGTCCATGGAAATAGTGAATAAAGGAGTAAAAATGAGCTTTGAGCGGATCCGACAAGATTTCAGAGCCATTGATTTTTCTGGAAATCAAATTTATGGTAAAATCCCTCAATCTATCTGCGTTTTGAAGGAATTGCGTCTGCTCAACTTGTCAGGTAACGCATTCACAAGCGATATCCCACGGTTCTTGGCGAATTTGACTAACCTCGAGGCATTAGACCTATCTCGTAACAAGTTTTCAGGTCAAATCCCTCAAGATCTTGGCAAACTCTCCCTTTTGTCATACATGAACTTTTCTCATAACCTTCTCCAAGGTCCTGTGCCACGAGGCACACAATTTCAAAGGCAGAAATGTTCTTCATTCTTGGACAACCCTAAACTCTACGGTCTCGAAGAAATCTGTGGAGAAACCCTTGTCCCCAATCATACATCACAGCAACCTGAGGAGTACTCAGGGGAGGAAGAGAAAACGTTCAACTGGGTAGCAGCTGCAATAGCCTATGGACCTGGTGTGTTCTGTGGATTGGTGATCGGACATATCTTCACTTCACACAATCATGAGTGGTTCACAGAAAAGTTTGGTCGAAAAAAAAAGGTCAGAGTCACCACAAGTGTTCGCTAACTTTTGAAGAAGCATTGTGTAACGTCTTGTTTACATGTGTGTCCTCGGAAAGACTCGTTTGTGTTTTAATTTTCTATTTTATGGTTTTGTAATAAACGTACTGTATTTGGTGGTATTTAATATATCCTTGGTTTTAAAATTAAAATGTATATACGTTGTGTTTTGCAATTCTCACTATAAAATATAGAGCAACTGATTCTTAAAGAAGTTTAAGATCGTGGCTATACATATAATGACAGTTCATGATTCATGGCGTATGTATATTAATTGTGGGGGTTTGAACGTTCGCTCGGCTGCCTGCACAACAGAAGTTTTTTTTTTTTTTTTACCAGAAGTTACTCAATTACAAATCCACTAGATAAATTACCCGCACATAGTGCGGGTAAAATGACAATTAAAGAAGTGCATTGTAGTTTTAGTTATAAAAATTATTGCATTATTATCCGGAATCCAAAATCTGTTAGTGTACAATTATGAAACATGTTAAAAAAACGTTTTATATTCCAATCATCGATTTTTCGTATCAGAATTCGTTTTACCCGTAAAATAATTAAAGACGACAATTTCTTTTCTAACGCAACTTAAATAACAAACACATATACATCTTTGTAAAAGAGTTGATGAAGATTTAAAAAATTTAGATTGCTCGAAAACTAAGAAGATGTGTGTTTGGTATATTTATAGAGAAATATTTTTGTAGGGTTCCGTTTAATTTTTGAAATTTAGATTGCCTTCAAAATTTGAAAAATTAATTTATTGTTGATTTTATGATAGATTTAGTTTTGAGAATTAATTTTATAAATGTAGTTTGGATTTATGAACCTAGGAAAATTTGTACTTACAAAAGTTATAAAAATATATTCTAATATATTAATTTACATGAATTATACGCTTACATGTTTGAGTTGTTAAATATATCTATATATATATGTGTGTGTGTTAGTCTGGATTTAAAAATATAGACCTTAGATCAATTAAATATATATATATATAAATATATATATATATATATATATATATACTACATATACACGAATCCTTTATGTATAGATAGAGATATGATGTTTGTATTACTGATGTTTAATGTTAATTAACGGAATAATTAGAATATCATGGCATATTTGTAACTAATCTAGTAATATATAGACCATTACAGTTTGTTATGCATATATCCTATGTTACATTTAATTGTCTTTGCTAATATAGAGATAATAAAGTTTGTCTTGTATAGATTGTGTGTTTTTTAAATTTTTAATTAGAAATTCGTTTTTGATTAGTGGGATATATGGATGTATGAGACTAATGGCAAATTCTGTAAATAGTCTAATAAAAGTTGGGTAATTATCTAAATAGAAGCCAAATCATTGTGAGAGCGACATGTCAGCGTGACAATTTTGTTAATAACACATCATGGTAAGGTTTCTTTTTAAAAATGTTTCTCTATTAATATATAGGGGATTGAGTGAAAGAAGGAAAAATCCATAGTTAACCATTCGATCCATCATTTGTTTTTCTAAACCAAAGTAAATGTATGTGTATAATACTACTATACTAGAATGAGTATTTGACTTCATAAAATCATGTAAATTTTAAATTAACAAATGAGCTTATATATGGGCTATTCGTAATTTCGTAGTAATGGGCCTTCACAGTTCAAAGATTATCAATTTGGAAATCAACCACGCACGATACGACCACGATTATTTGGTCCGTTAGCTCGTTGATAAGGAAGTCAGTGTCTGTCTTTTTCCTGAAACAGATTTTTTTTTTAAAGTAGGTAATATAAATTTGATGCTATTTAATTTTATGATAGGACGATTTAAAGAGAAAAAAAATTCATATTGAATCTCGAGATGTGAAAACTAAATTTTGTAGATGTACTCAAAGTTTTTTTCCTTTTAATTTGCACTGGTATTTTTTTTTTTTTTATTTTGTTACATCTATAGATAACCAGATGGGCCTGAAAACAAACTTTACATATTGTTGTTACAAAAGTCAGTGTTTTGTGGGATGAATAACAATAAATCCGATCCAGAACTCTTATCTCCAACTGAAAAGTGATAGTACAATGAATTATCACCTTAAAAGGACGGTGGTCCTTCAAGAAGAAGACGGTCAGTAGTACATAAAACATGATTCTCTGCAATGGTCTCCAACATGTGACCACAAAGTAATGAGTGAAAGAAGGAAAAATCATGATTAGTACGCCAACATTATTAGTATTCATAATCTGGTTGAATTAAGTTTCTACGTACACTTAATACTCTCATCGTCTCATGCATCAACTGTAGTCTTCCACTGAAATAGTATATAGGTCAACTTTTTTTTTTGTCAACGGAGAAAGTCAACTAATACAGAGAATTTTGTGAGACGAGGGTTAGAAGTGAAAATGATTTACTTATATGAATCATAAGATTAAAAACTTACATAAACCGAAGTAAATGTATGCGTATATGTATAGATGCATGAATCATGATTACTTTTCCCAAATGGGAAAGGCTCGTACGTACGTAAATCATGATTTTCTAAAAAAAAAATACAAAAAAATCATGATATTCTGCAATGGTCCAAGTACCAGGGCCGGCGCAGAGGACAAGCTACTGAAGCCACCGATTTGGGCCTCAAAACTTGAGGGCATTTTTATCTAAAAATTTGTTAAGTTTTCTTATAAACAATAATTTTTATAGGGCCTTTTAAAAATATTGTGGGCGTTTAGAGACAACTACAATATTCTTTTTAATGGTAAAAATCTAATTTAAAATATATTTTTTTATGGGGTTTAATTTTGCTTATGGCACCCAAATTTACCGGGCCGGCACTGGGTCCAACATGTGAGTATCTGGCCATAAAGTACCAAAAGTAATTACTAGTACTCGGAATTAATTATTGAGATGGTTTAAAGTAGAGGATAGTGAGAATTTCCTATAAATTTCATCGGAGTTGTTCCTCTTGCTTCTGGTTTTATCTCAAACCAAATTTCCAGATGGACATAGTCTACCTAGGGTTTTGTGAAGAACGATGATATATTTCGTTTTGGATTATAAAGTTGGCTAAGCTTGTGGTAAAAGTTGATGGTTTGATGCGGAATACAACATCGAAAAGTTCGTGATTCTTTGGTTATTTAAATCTTGATGGCGCATATTTTTTTTTTTCTTGGTTACATGAATACATTTGTCTAAATATCTGAAAGAAAATCTGAAGTTGATCACATTCCATTGCACTCATCAGAGGAGTTTTAACAGAGTCCATCACATATTTTATTTTATTTTTCTAATAGAGTCAATCATACGAAAGAATCTATAAAGCCAACGATAATAATGATTTTTTAAAAAATGTTACAGAAGTTAATAAAATTTGAGACTAGTAAACGTACGAAATATTTTAGAAGAATTGAATCAGTTAGTGCAAGAAAATCTGGAGTTGATCACATTCCATTGCACTTCGACAAATCAACCGACAACTTGAGGCAAGACTAGCTATGTCACATACCAACTTAGGGTTTTCTAATTCCTCTTCTTAACTTCTTTTTAAAGAGAACCAGTGAAGCACAATTAACCCATTACTTACAACACAAACTAGCTCCAAAGATAGATATGATGACTCGAAGCCATTGTTATTGGGTTTCTTGTATTATTACCATCTATTTCTCCCTCCTTATACACTCTCTAGCTTTTCCTTTGCTCCACTTTTGCCGCCACGACCAAAGGAACGGTCTTTTGAAATTCAGAGACGAGTTTCCGATCTTTGAGGCTAAATCAAGTCCGTGGAATGAGAGCACTGATTGTTGTTTTTGGGAGGGTGTCAAGTGCGATGATAAATCTGGCCAGGTGATATCACTCAACCTTCATAACACCCTTCTCAACAACTCTTTGAAAACTAACAGTAGCCTTTTTAAACTCCAATATCTTCGTCACCTAGACCTTTCTAGTTGCAATCTCATAGGAGAGATTCCTTCTTCACTAGGAAACCTTTCTCGTCTGGTAAATCTTGAACTTTCTTCTAATAGATTGGTCGGTGCGATTCCGGATTCAATAGGCAACCTAAAGAATCTAAGAAACCTTAGCCTTGGAGATAACGATCTCATAGGAGAAATTCCTTCTTCCATAGGAAACCTTTCTCTTCTCTTAGATCTTGACCTTTGGAGTAATCATTTGGTAGGTGAAGTTCCATCTTCCATCGGAAACCTAAACGAACTAAGAGTCATGTCACTTGACCGTAACAGCTTAAGTGGCAGCATTCCTATTTCATTTGCTAATTTAACGAAGCTTTCCGATTTTAGCATCTTCTTTAATAAACTTCACATCACTTCCATCTGACATGAGTGTCTTCCAAAACTTGGTGACTTTTGATATTAGTGCAAACTCATTTTTCGGGCCTTTCCCTAAATCTTTGTTCTCGATTCCTTCGTTAACATTGGTTTATATGGATAGAAACCAATTCACAGGACCTATAGAGTTTGCTAATATATCTTCATCATCTAAGCTTCAGAATCTAATTCTTACTCATAACCGATTAGATGGCTCAATCCCAGAATCCATATCGAAATTTCTCAACCTCGTAGTGTTAGATGTTGCCCACAACAATATCAGTGGACCAATCCCTAGGTCTATGTCAAAGTTAGTTAACCTCCATATGTTTGGTTTTTCCAACAACAAGTTGGAAGGTGAGGTACCAAGTTGGTTGTGGAGATTGTCGTCAGCGATGCTGTCTCACAATTCTTTTAGCAGTTTTGAAAAAATATCTTCAAAAGAAACACTGATCCAAGTGTTGGATCTGAGTTTCAATTCATTCCGAGGACCATTTCCCATTTGGATCTGCAAGCTGAAAGGGTTACACTTCTTAGATTTGTCCAACAATCTCTTCAACGGCTCGATTCCTTTATGTTTAAGGAATTTCAATCTCACGGGGCTAATTCTTGGGAACAACAACTTCAGTGGAACTCTTGATCCTGATTTATTTTCCAGTGCTACCAACTTACAATCTTTGGACGTAAGTCGCAACCAGCTCGAAGGGAAGTTTCCCAAGTCTTTGATCAACAGCAAACGTCTGCATTTTGTGAATGTGGAAAGCAACAAAATCAAGGATAAGTTTCCATCTTGGTTGGGATCTCTACCATCTTTAAAAGTTCTCATCCTTCGATCAAACGAGTTCTACGGTCCGTTGTATCATCCCAACATGTCCATTGGGTTTCAGGGTTTAAGAATCATTGATATATCAAACAATGGCTTCACTGGAACACTCCCACCTCAGTTTTTTTCCAGTTGGCGTGAAATGATTACATTAGTCGATGGAAGTCACGAGTACATTGAAGATATCCAGAATTTTTCTCTTATTTATCGCTCCATGGAAATGGTGAATAAAGGAGTAGAGATGAGTTTTGAGCGGATCCGACAAGACTTCAGAGCCATTGATTTTTCGGAAAACAGGATATATGGGAAAATACCTGAATCCATTGGTTGTTTGGAGGAACTGCGTCTTCTTAACTTGTCAGGTAACGCTTTCACAAGCGATATCCCACGGGTCTGGGCAAATCTGACAAAGCTCGAGACGTTAGACCTATCACGTAACAAGCTGTCAGGTCAAATCCCACAAGATCTTGGTAAACTCTTCTTTCGGTCATACATGAACTTCTCTCATAACCTTCTCCAAGGTCCAGTGCCAAGAGGCACGCAGTTTCAAAGGCAGAGATGTTCTTCATTCTTGGACAACCATGGACTCTACGGTCTCGAAGATATCTGTGGGGAAACTCATGTCCCGAATCCTACATCACAGCAACCCGAGGAGTTGTTAGAGGATGAAGAAAAAATGTTTAACTGGGTAGCAGCTGCAATAGCCTATGGACCTGGTGTATTTTGTGGTTTGGTGATTGGATACATATTCACTTCACATAATCATGAATGGTTCGCTGAAAAGTTCGGTCGAAAAAAACTTAGAGCCAACACAAGTGCTCGTTAAGCCCATCTCTTGCAATCTCTCTAAGCATTATTGTGTAACGTCTTGTGCATGTTCGTATTGAATTTTCCATTCCAGGTGTATTCTCCAAAAGACTCGTTTGTGTTTGTAATTTTCTATTTTTGTGGTTTTTGTAATAAACGTACTGTATTTGGTGGTATTTAATATATCTGGCTTTAAAATGTATACTACATTACTCTGTGTCTGCAATTCTCATAATATAGATTTCCTGGTTCTTAGAGGACTTTACGATCATGACTATATAAATAAATAGTGACAGTCATGATTCATGACCTAGGAAGCACGGAAGCTCCGTCTGTAGTCCGATTCCCGCTTCGGAAGCTAAAACGGAATCGGAAGCTTCAAGAAGCGCCCGGAAGCGTGGTGGAAGCGCGATTCCGAAAAAAAAGGAAATCGGAAGCGTTTTGGAAGCTATGATTCCGTTTAGGAAGCGTTCTATTTTTATGCGATTCTGATTTTGGAATCGTTATTAAGGAAATATTTAGGAAGCGTGATATATTTTTTGTATTTCTTAATTAAATATGAAATTAGAAAACCCTAATTACAATTTACTAAACAAGAGAATACCAATCGTGGCTAAATTTCGTCTTTGGCAAAACTCTTGTTGGGATTGACCCATTTGATTGGCCCTGGAAAAGAGAAAGCTAGGTTAGTGATGATGAAGAACAAGGAAGTTCTGAAGTAGAACAAGAAGAAGAAGTTGTCATGGTTGAAGAAGAAGAGAAGTCAACTAAAGAAGAAGAAGGAGTCAACGTAAAAAGAAGATGTGTTTTGAGTTAAGAGATGGAGTGGGCCTAAGTGGTTAAGGTGTGGCCCAACAGAAGAAAGGTGTTGTCTAATGGGTCTAACTAAAGTCCATTCGTAGAAGTAATTATAATGTCCAAGTATAACTAAGCGTTAAGTGAGTTGTTGAGAGTGTTTGCTAATGGTGATGAAAATGAAAAGGAAGACGATGGTCCAAATCTTTGACTTATACGTTATGTTTTTTTTTAATCTCTAATCAACTTAATTAAGTATTGGATCTCTTTTATTTAAGACAAGAGTTATTTAATCACATTTGAGTTATTTAATCACATTTGATTATATATATATATATATATATATATATATATATATATATATTACACGCTTCCAAAACGTACCCATATCATAAATTTTTGAAAAAATCGCTTCCACGTTTCCAAACGCTTCGCTTCCCCGCACCCGCTTCTGATTCCATGCAACTTAGTTCATGACATATATTAGGTGAAAATAAAAAGCAATCAAAGTGTCACGATCATTTACAGTGTATGACTTGTAACACAAACAACTTATAAACATTTTTTGAAAATTTAAAATTTTTGGATTTTCAATTTTTGGATCTACGGACTGTCTGAAAATAAAAAGCAATCAAAGTGTCTAAATTTTTTATTTTCCATTATTAATATTATAAATCTTGTTTGGATTCCAATTTTTGGATCCAACCATTGATAGTGCTCTGACAGGTCTATATGTAATTGCAAGACGGGGGTTGGAATGGTCAACGGTACCACCAACTTATGTAATAAACGTCTTTAGTGGTATTTGATATATAATATATCTTGACTTGAAAATGTACACTGAACGTTATGTAATAGTTAACCATTCGATTATGATGGATCAACGTCTTTTTCTAAACCAAAGTAAATGTATATGTGTGTAGATGCATGAATCCTTAGAATGAACATTTAACTTCATAAAATCTTGTAAATTAAAAGTTTACAAATGAGCATATATATGAGCCCATTCATGGGCCCCCTCAATTCAGAAGCTATCAATTGGTAAATCAAACCCATGCGATTACGATACGACAAAGATGATCTTGTCAATGCGAAAAATCAATGTCTGTTGGCGGAGTTGTTCTCTTATAGCTCTAATTTGATCATTAAAAAGTGTATAGCTAATTTCTAAATCTTTAGATATCTCAAACCAGTATTAGTGTTTTACATGCACACAGTCTATGGATATGTGAAGAACGATGCTATATTTAGATTGTGGTGAAAGTTGAATGCAAAGTTGGAAATTTAGTAGACCTTGGTTAAATTCGGTAGAAACTTAAATAATCTTTTAGAGAGGACTAAAATGAGTCTACAATGGTGTACGTGAATATTTAAGTCAAAAAAAAGTTTATTTTATTTTTATTCTAATCAGAAAGCACTTATTTTATTTCTATTATTCTAATGAACAAGCACATGTAATTAAATCAATCGAATCTAAACGAGTCGACGCAAGACTTGCTAAGTTAGGAATTTCTTCTTAAAGTGAGGACCAAATGAAGCACACACAATTCATTACTTACAAGACAAAATCAAAACAGAAAGATATGATGATCCGAAGCCATTGTCATTGGGTTTCTGATATTATTATCATCTTTTTCTTCCTCCTTGTACACTCTCTAGCTTCTTCTTCGCCCCACTTTTGCCGTCATGACCAGAGAGATGCTCTTTTGGAATTCAGAGGCGAGTTTCCGATAGATGCGTCTTTGTGATATAGGAATTAGAGTATGGAGAAATGAAGAAATGATGTAAGAAGACTGGCACGTGTGGCACGTGAGGAGTAGTGAGCTGCAGTACACGTGGAAAGAAAAGATTGGATCAAGTGGGCTAAAGCCCTTTAAAAGAGACATCGTTCTCTTCTTCTTCATTATGCAAAAACCAGAGAAATTATTTTTAGTTGTAATCTTCTTCTTCTTCTTAGTTTGTGTTGAAACTATGGTGTTGTACTCATCTAGATCGAGATCTCTCCGTTAGATCTTTGTCATTTGAGATATCGGCTCGCGTTTTATGAACGTTAGTCCGATTTGGTTCCGGTTACGATTTGAATTGAAGTATTGGTGTTTTTCTTTATCACTTTGAAAATTATGAATACATGGAGAGGTCCGTGGAATAAGAGCACTGATTGTTGTTTTTGGAACGGAGTCACATGCGATGATAAATCTGGTCAGGTAATATCACTCGACCTTCCTAACACCTTTCTCCACGGCTATTTGAAAACCAACAGTAGCCTTTTTAAACTCCAATATCTTCGTCACCTAAACCTTAGTAATTGCAATCTCAAAGGAGAGATTCCTTCTTCACTAGGAAACCTTTCTCATCTCACACTTGTTAACCTTTTCTTTAATCAATTGGTAGGAGAAATTCCGGCTTCAATCGGCAATCTAAACCAGCTAAGATACCTTAACCTTCAGTCTAACGATCTCACAGGAGAGATTCCTTCTTCACTAGGAAACCTTTCTCGTCTCACATTTGTTAGCCTAGCTGATAATATCTTGGTAGGTAAGATTCCAGATTCATTAGGAAATCTAAAGCATCTAAGAAACCTTAGTCTTGGGTCTAACGATCTCACAGGAGAGATTCCTTCTTCACTAGGAAACCTTTCTAATCTCATACATCTTGCACTTATGCATAATCAATTGGTAGGTGAAGTTCCTGCCTCCATTGGAAATCTAAACGAACTAAGAGCTATGTCATTTGAAAACAATAGCTTAAGTGGAAATATTCCTATTTCCTTTGCCAATTTAACCAAGCTTTCTGAATTTGTCCTCAGCTCTAATAACTTCACATCCACGTTTCCGTTTGACATGAGTCTATTCCACAACTTGGTGTACTTTGATGCTTCTCAAAACTCTTTTAGCGGACCTTTCCCTAAATCTTTGTTCTTGATAACTTCGTTACAAGATGTTTATCTGGCAGATAACCAATTTACGGGACCTATAGAGTTTGCAAATACATCTTCATCAAATAAGCTTCAGTCCCTAACCCTTGCTCGTAACAGACTTGATGGCCCAATCCCGGAATCCATATCTAAATTTCTCAACCTTGAAGATTTAGATCTTAGCCACAACAACTTCACTGGGGCAATCCCTACATCTATATCAAAGCTAGTCAACCTCCTTTATCTTGATCTTTCCAACAACAATTTGGAAGGTGAAGTACCAGGTTGCTTATGGAGATTGAATACGGTGGCGCTTTCTCACAATATTTTCACAAGTTTTGAGAACTCTTCATATGAAGCACTAATAGAAGAGTTGGATCTGAATTCCAATTCATTTCAAGGACCACTTCCTCATATGATCTGCAAGCTTAGATCGTTACGCTTTTTAGATCTGTCCAACAATCTCTTCAGCGGCTCAATTCCTTCATGTATAAGGAATTTCAGTGGTTCTATTAAAGAGCTAAATATGGGGAGCAACAACTTCAGTGGAACTCTTCCAGATATATTTTCCAAAGCTACCGAGTTAGTATCAATGGACGTTAGTCGCAACCAGCTGGAGGGAAAGTTGCCAAAGTCTTTGATCAATTGCAAAGCTCTGCAACTTGTGAATATAAAAAGCAACAAAATCAAGGACAATTTCCCATCATGGTTGGAATCTCTACCGTCATTACATGTCCTCAACCTCGGATCAAACGAGTTCTATGGGCCGTTGTATCATCACCACATGTCTATTGGGTTTCAGAGTTTAAGAGTCATCGATATATCAGACAATGACTTCACTGGAACTCTCCCACCTCACTATTTCTCCAACTGGAAAGAAATGATCACATTAACGGAAGAAATGGACGAGTACATGACAGAGTTTTGGAGATATGCTGATAGTTATTATCATGAGATGGAAATGGTGAATAAAGGAGTTGATATGAGCTTCGAGCGGATCCGAAAAGACTTCAGAGCCATTGATTTTTCTGGAAACAAAATCTATGGCAGCATCCCTAGATCCCTTGGCTTTTTGAAGGAACTGCGCCTTCTCAATTTGTCAGGTAACGCTTTCTCAAGCGATATCCCACGTTTCTTGGCAAATTTGACAAAGCTCGAGACGTTAGACCTATCCCGTAATAAGCTGTCAGGTCAAATCCCTCAAGATCTTGGTAAACTCTCTTTTCTGTCATACATGAACTTCTCCCATAACCTTCTCCAAGGTCCTGTGCCACGAGGCACACAGTTTCAAAGGCAAAAATGTTCTTCATTCTTGGACAACCCTAAACTCTACGGTCTCGAAGAAATCTGTGGAGAAACTCATGCCTTGAATCCTACATCGCAACTACCCGAGGAATTGTCAGAGGCTGAGGAGAAAATGTTCAACTGGGTAGCAGCTGCAATAGCTTATGGACCTGGTGTGTTATGTGGATTGGTGATCGGACATATCTTCACTTCACACAATCATGAGTGGTTCACAGAAATGTTTGGTCGAAAGAAACTAGTCATTACAAGTGTTCATTAAACCCATCTCTTGTAGTCTCTTTAATAAGCATTTGTGAAGCAACTGTTGTGTAACGTCTTGTAATAGACTCGTTTGTGTTTGTTTGGATTTTCTATTTATGTAATAGACGTCTTTGGCTTCAAAATGTATACATTGTGTTCTGCAATTCTCAATTATGTGCAATAAAATATAGATTTAGTAGACTTTACGAATTACGATCATGAGTTTATAAACAAATAGTGAAAATCCATTCATGAGATATGTTCGTATCACAGGTCCATATTTAATGTAAGACGGGGTTGGCACGGCCAACTTACCAACAGAATCTAAAAATGACAAATGGAGAGATTTCGACATATAAAATATAACTCAAAACTTCATGTGTATGAAAGGATCCAGGAACTGCCAAAAAAAAAAAAAAAAAAACTTATACATGAAAATATAATGCATGACGAATGAAGCAATGGTGAGAGCAAGTAAGAAAATTTACACAATTTGTGGAAGACATAAAACAACCTGAAGCTGTAGTAAAGTTATATGGTGGAAGAAAGCTAATCCCAGAAGATGTTTACATAACATCTCCATTTTTCTGAACAGTTTTCTCTGCATCACAAAGCACAGAACGCAATCTTCATATGTGTATATGCTTCTCTTCATCAAACGACCAAACACCAACAGGTCCAACACCGAGAACTGTGGTCATAATAGATCCAATAGAGATGGTTGTGGACCATTGGGCTTTGAGGTAGATGTGCCAGTACCACCTCTACCTCTCCCCCTTCCTCTTCCCATTGCTATTGAAGGTGGTGGTGCAAGTTTCATTGCGGACTGCTCGGTTTTGCTTGAACCGAATATGGAACTGATGTCTGCTGGCTTCTGGTTATTGTATGAACCACTGCTGAAAGATGGCATTCCTTGGCTCTGTTTTGGTACTCCGAAAGAGTTTATTGGATCTTGATTATTTGCAGAGATACCTGGATTCCCTTGCTGGGGTGGTTTTAGCGAACACAAGGCGGCATTGTTGCTGAATGCCCAGTTGTCATTGTTAGCTGTCTGAAAATGGGTGCCGCCTGGTAAATTGTTGCTAAAACTCGATGCAGCACCATTGTTGGGACGTGGAGGCCAATTAGCAAACGGATCTAATTCATCGAAACCCGGAGTAAATGATGTTCCCGTGTTTAGTTGTGTCTGATTATCAGTTGCTGGAGCAGTAAGGCTTGAGGATTGCCTTGGAGGCCACTCGATGTCCACTGCAGGGCATGTGGTTGGCGCTGTTGTCTTGTTGGGCAGAGTAGACATGATCGATGGCTGTGACTGATCAGTGGAATTGTTAAATTGATGGTGTGTGTTATGATGAGAAGAAGCAGGATTTCCTACAGCAGAATCTTTGCTCGGGGAACCCCAATCTTCATCCCATGCAGGACTGCTCTTGGCTGCAGAAGCAACCTTCTCAGGTGTTTGGGTCGATGATTGAAACTGGAGTCCATTGGCAACAGAATGCGGTTTCACGTCTGGGACTCCGGAATCGTTCACTGTAACTCCTCTTTTTTCCTCTATTTTCCTGTTACAAGAGAAGAATACAGATCACAATAGAGCCAACAACACTATGTTGTGGTACAGACATGAAAAGTCTATTCAGAAGTACTGGCTGAGAACAACAGGCACACCTGAGAATATCCTTGACAAATAACATATATTTGGCAAACTGCTGGACGTTCAGTTGTTGGGCAGTGAGCAGCGGCATCATCAGGGTAAGCACATGTTCTGCTGTGAATTCAACTCCATACTAGAGAACAACAATGAAAAATGTAGATGATAAGATGTAATGCTACCACAGATAGAAAGGAGGGAAAGTCAAGACATTCAAACTTCAAACATAAAGGAGAAAATGTGACCTGGATCCTACCTGTTTGAGGATCGCGTTTGCCACAGCAAGGGTACACATTAGGGTGGGTGCAGAACGATCTACGGCAGTACACCGTTGAATTGTTTGCAGAATTTCGATAGCAGCAGGCTTATCAAGCGTTTGCACCAACTCTGCTAAGCAGAGCAAAGCATTTACTCTGACCTGCGCAACAAGTACATTCCAATCAATTATTTCTAATAAGATGGAATCACCTAATTCATTTTATCTTTCTTTCTCAAGCTATTGAAGACACTGGTTTTAAAAGAAACTCGAGCTGAGATAATCTAACAAAGCATAACATACCGCAGCAACTGTAGTTTTGAGAGCCAAGCCATGAACACGAGGCAAAATTGCTTGCCTGACAACCTGCATAAAGAAAGCCGGGAAAAAATGATAATTAAAGGAACTCATCCAGCGTTAATTAACTGACACTACTCTGCACAACCACAGAGCCACACATCAAAAATTGATTCTACTCCTCTGGGGAGAAAAAAAAATTATTCCAATGAAACATTAAAACAAAGCATTAAGCATCACCTGACCATCGAGTTGCTTAGCAACAGATGTGGATCTTTTGAGAACTTCCTCCTGAATGCGGACATCGTTATCATTGTAGGCCCGCAGAAGCAAAGGGAGGACGTGCGATACAAGATGCTCGCTATCAGTCTAAAAAGTTTGACATAAATGTAAGCCGAGTAAGGATCTCACCCTATAAGTTCTTCAATGCATATTTACAATAGGATCCAGAAACAAACAACAGTCAGTCTAACTTCAACGTGGAAGCTTACAACCAAATATGTATCTGACTAGATCTGCATGTATCAGTTTATGGTAGCACAAAAGACTATTATATCGACCTGATGTGTTTTCAAAGTGAACCATATTTTACACATACATCCTTTATTCCATCCTACTGTGTCTATTCAGAAGAACTTAAGCAGAAACAAACATGTGCAGGGTAAGAAAAACATAAGTCAGTAATGTAATGTATAGAATTGATCAACTTTACCTTGTTAGTAATAAGCTCGGCATGCTTTACAAGCAGCAGTAATGTATCTCCTGAAGCAGTACTCAGAACAGGAACAAGAGCCGGAAGTGTTATCAGTTCAAAATCAGTTCTATCCTGCAAAGGTAATTTAAGGTTTCAACTTTCAAGCATACAGTCAGTGATTTCTAGATAAAACTAGTTTTCCTTATCACTTGAAGTTACCTGGGACTGTGCTATAGTTAGAACCATTGGCAAGATCATTGGTTGCAAAACTAAATTCCTAAGTTCCGCACAAAGAGGTGGAAGCACCTGCATGATAAAACATGGTTTGCTTAGTTGTTGCAAGACATATCATTTGAGCATCAAATCTTTTTTTTTTATCAAGACACAGGATAAGTCAGTAAAGTGACTACCTTATACCGTAATACACGGGAATCAAAATCTTTCCACATATCTGATAATGCTTTTAAGAACTCGGACTTCTGCATATTATCTCTTTCCTGAATAATGAGAAAATGTTCCAAAAAGGTTATCAAATGTGGACATACATTTTCCATCATCTAAGTACAGTCTGTCTAAAACAATTTTTGAAAGCATATAAACGTACAAGCATATGATCAAGGAAGCGGAGAGCACGTAACCTAGCGTCACTTCGGAAAAAATTCGATCCTACAGGGTGAGGGTTCAAGTTAAAGATGTAACTAAGAAGAAAAAGGGAACATTTGTCACAAGAAATAAGGAACCTGATCAAAATTATTCCACTTACCTGTGAAATCTAATGCTGTTGGTCTAAAAGACTCGTTCATTGATAGCATCCTTTGCAAATCAGATACCAAGTCCGAGGGTATAGATGAGAAAGATTCATTTGTTATATAGTTCAACGTGTTCATGTACTGCAAGAAATTTCAAGATAAACATTACCAACCGTGGGAAATCCAAGAATACATTACAATTCTTCTGAATAATTAAAACTACCCTTAAGCCATAAAGCATGAGACACAACGTATCTGACAGCATCTATCTGAATATCAAAACTAACAAGCTCGGGTTTTAGAGTTACCATCTTGACATTATTATTGCAGTCTAACAACGGTTTCCGAGCAACTAGATGATAGGCAAGGCATCCAAAACTAAAAATGTCCGACGAAGCTCCAGCTGAAGGACTTTTGCTGCGCATCAGTTCAGGTGCAGTGTAATTTAAGGATGGCTGGACTGGCAGTATCGAATCCTCGACGTCATATTCCTGCACAGTCATACGCAAGAAATCATCTCACTTGTAGGGTTGAATACATAAGATATACAGCAGTCTAGTAACATTTCGAGTTTCAAACTCACAGAATAGTGGAATGCTTGCACGTTATCCAAATTCCCAGCCTGTGCTGTCGAAATAGCAAAACCAAATCCGGCAAGCTTCCAAGAACCAGCTGAAGTAATAAGAACATTCTGCAGGGAAATTAGAAAACATATAAACACAACTTCTAAGAAAACAAGTATAACTACGAATTTTGAAAAATCAACCTCTGGAGATATGGCTCGATGGATAAGACTTGCGTTATTGTGTAAAAAGTTCAGTGTCTCAGAAATCTGGAGCAGACCATGCTTCACCTCCAACAAGCTCATCTCCTGATCAAATTGTAAACAATCAATTTAAGAAAATCTAAGGTCAAACTCAAATTGAGTTTTAATCACAGTGACAACATTATATATGTTACCATTGATTTCAGATCTTTTGGCACATTAGCCACATTCTCAACATTCCCAAGCGCATTAGCCACAGAAGCAAAAAGCGGCTCCGTAACTAAAGCCATAGCATTCTTATTCTCATCAAGTGCTTGCACCACATGAACCACACCAGGATGTCTCAACCTCACCAGCTTCCCCGCATCAGCTCGAATCAGATCAAGAAACGCATCTTCAGCTCCCTTAGACAACCCCGCTCGTACACGAGCCTCAGACAAAGCACGCTTATCAAGCATCCAGACACAGACCGTCGGGTATTGCTGTGGCCGCGTGGAGTCACGCGCCTTAGCTGCGTATAGCTTCCAAGCTAGACCAGGACCAGCGGAACCGATCTGATCGAGTAGCTCGTAATCCTGAAGAGCCTTAGGTCCCGTAACTTCCTGAACTGTGGTATGAACCGTCTTCTCAATCACAGCAGCGGTTCTAGCTAGAGCTTGAGTAAACGTTTTCATATTTATCGACATTTCTGCTGGATCGAATTTACTCCTAAATGTTGTCGGCGACGACGTGAAATTGAAAACCGGTGATCCGACGAGAGATCTATAAACAAATCAGAGAAGAGAATGCGTATTTAACCGAGATCAAGGAAGAAGACGATGGCGAAAGAGAAGCACAACTCTGGATCGTAGATCGTCTTCTTCCCCCACCTCTCTCACCTCTCTCTCTGCAACTTGTTTCTTTTTTTTTCCTTAATTAACCTTTTCTTATATTTTTATTTATTTGCCAAATCAGTCCTTGTTGTCCTTGTCTTGAGATGAAAGTAACATAGAAAATATCTGGCTCCTCGGCGATTACCAGTAGTCATTACAGGAGCAAGAAGAATCTTTGAAATGGTGAAACCGATTCGAGTCTCTTAGAAGAATCTCTTTTCCCAAAAGCTTAGAGGCCAACTTCATGAAGTTATGGCAATCAATACATATCCTTATGTTCTTCATTATCTGTATCAAATTAACACCACAATCACCTGATTTTCTTCCTTCCATAACCGCAAACGCTAACGCCAGTTTCTCGCTGTGATGCGATAGATGTTCTTCCTTCTGTTCGTCCTCCTCAATTTGTTGTAAAGCTGACCTCATTTCTGGAACATAACCCATTTCCTTTAACCGACTAATCAGTCTCTCCAATTCTCTGCATATGGCTTCCCTGTCGGGACGGCATCTTCCTCCTGATGTGAATTCGTGAACCTTGTTTCCTATCTCTGTACAGCTCAAGCCTGGTTCTTTTCTTACTCGCCATGTTTCCATCTCCTTTATGCTTTTATTGCCTTCGTTAAAGCTACTTTCGGCATTGTATATGTTTGACATCTGGATGTAACTCAATGAGTTTGTGGGTTCTATCTCTTTTAGTTTATCTGCCGCTAACTTACCCAACTGAGTGTTACCATGTTTCCTGCATGATCCCAGTAATGTACTCCAAACTACAGCATCTGGCCCCATTGGCATCTGCTTGATAACCTCTTCTGCCTCAGCAAAACGCTCAGCTCTGCCTAGCATATCGATCACACAAGCGTAGTGATTTAGCTGAGGAAGAGTTTCAGGTTTCTCAAACATGGATCTGAATATTCTCAATCCTTCTTTTACTCGTCCAGCGTGGCTGCAAGCCGAGAGAAGAGCTATGAAAGTCGCTGAATCAGGCTTAATGTCCATTTTCTGAAAGACTGGTAGAATTGAGTCTACTTGGCCATGCAATGAGTAAGCCTTGAGCAGTGAGTTCCACGACACCACATCCCGCGAATCCATATCGTCAAATACACGCTTACACAAGTCAAGAGAGCCACACTTGGCATACGCATGGATTAACGAGTTGTTCACCACTGTGTCAGTCGCAAAACCACCCTTGATCACTTGAGCGTGTATAGACAAAGCATGGCGAGCAGTGACAAGTCCTGCACAAGCTTTTAGTACACTTGAGAAAGTATACCAGTCAGGGCTTAGCTTCTCGTGACGTAACTGACCAAATAGAAGAATAGCCCTCTCTGGATCATACACTGCAAACGCTGTTATAATCCCCGTCCAAGCAACAATGTCCCTGCAGTGACTCATTTCCATAAAAAGCTTGTAGCAGTCAGTAAATTCTCCTAAAATTTCTGAATAAACTTTAACCAATGCAGTAGCCACTTCAGTCTGAGTTACCAACCCGGATTTTACAGTCAGAGAATGCAGCTGAAGACAACACTTGGAAACCTGATCAGGATCCAAGTCAGAGCTTTTGTACAAGGTAGTACATATATTAAGAACCGTGGCGCGATCAAATCCGACTCCATCACTATGCATCCGCATAAAAACGCCAATGGCCTGTTTCCCAAGATTGCAACACTGAAAAGCTGCAATCATTGAGTTCCAAGTAACCAGATTCTTAAACTCCATGGCCTCAAATACAGTCCAAGCTTCATAGGCGGCGGTACCATCATGACACCTACCGTACATAGAGATAAGTGCATTCGCCACATAAATCGAACAATATAAACCAAGTTTCAAAGCAAGTCCATGTACCTGCTTTCCAGGCTCATACCGACACAAAGTCAATACGCTTGATAACGCAAACTCGTTAGGGCAGCAATGGGCTAACATAGAAGAGAAAAGACAGAATCCATCTTGCTCATTCCCTGCCTGCGCATAGCCTGTGATCAGTGCAGTCCACGAAACAACATTCCTCTCAGGCATTGTATCAAACACCTGACGTGCGTATAAGATATTCCCGCATTTCGCATACATAGTAATGAGGTAATTAGCAAGGATAACGTTCTGTGAATAACAATAGGGATGTGAGAGCATGTGGTGGTGCAAGTTGATTCCATCGCGGAGATTGCGTTGATCTGCACATGCTTGGAACAGAGCCGCGTAAGCGTGCTGAGACTGAAGCTCGACAGGCGCACAATAGAACAAGGAAAGAGCTCGACGGAGATCACCAGACCTTACTAACGTACGCAATCCTTCAACAAGTTCGTGTTTCAGTGCAGAAGGTAAAGCAGAAGAGCAAAAGCGCCTCAATGTCCCAAACGAGATATGTGATAAACTTGTAATCATCGACGCTTCGAATTCATTACCTTGTTTATGAAGACAAATTAAGTAACCACTGTTTCGTCCGAGAGAAACAGCTTTTGTAGCTACATATAACTAATCGAATTTTGTCTACTTTATTGTTTCTAAATCCTCTGTTTTTTGGTGACCTTAAGAGAAGTTTTAGACATGGTAGAGGTCAAATAAACCGGGTATTGCTGCTTGACCAATGACCAAGATAGACCTTCTGCAAATAAACCGGGTAATTCTGCTTGACCAAGATAGAGCTTCTGCTATTCGGTTTAGTAACCAACCGGGTAAATCAAAGCTGTCGGTTTAATAAGCGGTTTTAGAGCGCAAGTTGCTATTTTGTAGTTTGTACAATTTCCATTTATGTGTAAATAAACTTTTTAAAGAAACAAATATTTTTTGACAGTGTAAATTGAATGTCGTCAGAACAACTTGGACTACCGAAACCCTAAAGCGATAGCGGCGACTGCAAGCTCCACCGACGCAAACTCTTTTCTAGGTCAAACTCATAGTTCTCTTCTTCTCCATAGTTTCGAAACACACTCTGATTTCACCAGAGCGAAATCATGGAAGGGAAAGAAAACTGCAAAGATCTTCTGAAATTGGAGCTCAAGAATCCATCTTCTTCCTCTGCTATGGATTCAGCACTTTTGATGTGTACGGAGAAGAATAGGAAGAAGAAGAGCGAGGCTCCTCCTCCATCGAAGCCAACGATTGCTCCAGTTCCTAAAAGCCAACTTCTTGGTAAACTTAAAGGCTTCTTGGGGGTTATGGCGGAAGCTAACAAAAAGTCTGAGGCAAACCCAGAAGCTTATAATATCGAAGCACTAACGGGTAACGAATCTGAAGTTATCGAGATGGACTTGATGCTCGGTGTCGCTGATCTCAACACACCTGAAGCAGTCAGTGCGGCTGAGGCAGCTATTGCTGGCATAGGTCCGGCAGCTGAAAGTGGAGATTCGAGCAGCGATGAGAGTGATAGCGACAGTGATGGAGAGGAGAACAAGAGTGAAGAAGAATGTAGCAGAAAACCAGCAAAGATCATTGAGCTCTCATAAAAAAAACATGTCTCTTCTCAATTTCAATTTTTTTTACTTTGTATGAAACTTTTGGAATGTTGATGATGGTTTTGGTCCTTGTGTTCAAGTCACTTGCAAAAGATGGGATATCTATTAATGTTCACAGTGACAATCCATAAAATAAAAAAGAGGTCAATTCTCAAAAGCGTGTAGCATATGCGATGGCCTTAACTCTCTTCGTCAACAAGAAGTGTGGAGCCATCGCAGATTCCAACGTCCAGTAATGTTGCAGTCTCGTCATCGAGTGCTGTAGGAAAAGGTGAGCCCTGCCACGAAAATATAAAATTGTTCCGTTGAATATTCTGACGATAACCGATACAAAACACTCTTATAGTTTTTTTGCTAAAAAAACACTCTTATAGTCAAAAACGTTTTCTTTCAAGTTAGTGATTATTAGGAAAGATACCTCCTCCTGTAAAAGTAACCTTGGCTTGATGGACTTGAGTTTAAAAAAGTTCTCACATAGGATCTTCAGCTTCCCAACCTGTTACAAACACCAATCGAAAGCTCAAACAAAAATAGTACACATTTTCAAAGTTTAGACTTCAGATCCTTAACCAAAAAAAAAGTAGCAACCGTGATACTGCCCGGCAACTTTTTTGTCAATTCAGGCTTTTCACCCATTGATGGACCAACGCATTTGAGAGCAATGGCTGCACAAGTCATAGCAATATAAAGCAGCTTCTAGACAATTAATGAACCATACATAAGAATTAAGAAACGCTTAAAAGAGTTATACATAAAAGTCCAGATGCCATATTCTTAGGGCCGCTGTTCTCAGCTGATGCTCTTTCATCCTCAATTCCGTGAAGTTTCTTGAGTTCATAAAACCTGCAATATCACAAGCAGGGCTAACTTTTTCTTGTATCACTTTCTTCTGACAGAAACTTGCATTAAAAGAAGAAAACAGGGTTTGGAAACCAATATAGGACCCTTTACTAATTTGTTTGCGAAGATTAGATTAGATTAACAAAGGTAAATAGTTTTGCAAAAAATGTACCTAGGATGGAGCAGCTCAATCTCCTCAGACTTGTCATTTAACTTTGACATCACCATTCGGACATACCTGCGATCATCCAAATAAAACTAAGCATAGTACTGACGCTGAAATCAAATAACAAGATTGACCAAGAAGATGGGATTGACGATTTACCGGATCTCAGAATCCTTCTTCTCACGAGCTCTTACCTGAAATAGAAAAACCCAATAGATTCAGATATTAAAGAGGAATGAAAGGTAACAGTGTGTTGAACATTTTTTCAGGCACTTGTTCTACCTCACTCCCATTCAGCACTTGTACTTTTGTCAACCTTGCAACGAGAACAAATCTTGGGACACCACCTCTTACAGGATCAGATATTGGGTTTTCAGAAAGCCTGATGTCCTATTACTTGAAGAGGGAAGGTCAATTAAAGTACGTATTTAAAGGTCTACCTGGCTTTCATAATGAACATCTAAAATTTGCAGGAAACGTCGAGAATGCCAGTAAGTTCTATAACAAGTATCATTACTGATCTACTAGAGTATTACTGAACAAAAGATCAATACCACTAACTGAGGAAACACATTCAGTGCGTCTATCGAGGCCAAATCGCCAATGCTGTTGGCTCCTGAGAAATACAATGGATGGAATAAATGGCTGAATATCAAGAGAGGGGACACTACACTTGAAGAGAATACCTAGAAGAAGACAACGCAGACTTGGAAACGGGTCACTGCTTTTCTTTGGCGATTCAATGCCATTTACAGAGTGAAAGATGTGTGTCAGCTTATTCTTGTTCAGGTAAAGCTGCTCCAAGCTGAGAAATAACGTTTAGATGGATCAATTTTAATAAGTATTAACAGTGCAATGTATATTTGTACATCAACTATGAGTAAAAGGGAAAAATATTTATTACTGACCATGGAAGTTGAGATAGCTTTAATACTTCACTCCAATCAGAAATACAATTATCATCCAAGTTTAGAAGTCGCAGAGAGTTAAATGCTTGACCATCTGAGGGAGATGTAGACTGATAGAACCAACCAGGGGGTAAATAAGGCGACAGAAAAAAAAAAAAAGAAGAGTTCAAAATTCAAACACCCAAATTTTCAAAGAAAAAAAGTGATGGGATGAGTCATGAGTGTAATTCAAGTATCGTCCTCAAAGAGACAAAACCGTTTTCCAAGCATTTTCAGACTATATATCCAACTTGGGGCAACAGAGTAACCATTGAAACTACAAAATAAACCATTACAGTTAAGGCAGATATCATATTCCCCATCAGATGCAACTCCTCAAGTCCAGGTAACGAGCGCCTAAGAATTTCAACCTGCTCCATGATGGTAAGAGCCATAAAAGTCAAAAACTGCTATGGTGCTCAATTAGTTCCATGAGAAAAAAGCAAAAGGTCAGGTAAAGAGTCACATATCACCTGTGTCCAGCTCAGACCACTATTATTCAGAACCAAAACACGGATATTTTTTAACTGTGGCAGAGAGGTGATATCACTTGACAAAGAATTGCAAGACAAATTAAGGGTAGTAAGGGCTGGTAACTGCTCACAAAGAGCACCAATTTCCTGGAAGCCAAAAACATTAGATCATCAATCATAAACTCTAAAAGATTAGTTGACGGTGGATAAAATCTAGGCCGCGTATGTTACTAGCAATGTTACAAAACAGATATACCTCCCAGTCAGAAATCAAGTTTCCGGTTAAGTCCAGTAGCTTCAAATCTGTAACAAAGGAACCAAATGAAGCAAGTAACGTTACAACTACGTTCATTTAAAGGTACTGAGGCAAGAGCCGAATCACACGATTGTTTTTTGACAATGGCAGAGCTGAAAGTTAGATCAAATCTTACTTGGTAGAATTGAGCTCAAGTCAGATGAAACTCCAAGAGAACTAACACCAAGATACGAAAGAGAAGCACTCGTAAGCTCCTCGAACCGACTTAACTTATCCTGGATCTTATCCCCTCCTAAAAGCTGAATCGAAACACGTCTATTCCCAGCAGAAAGAACATACATTTCATCTAACAAAAACAAAGAAGAAGATTCATTATTTCAAATTCCAAAAACCTCACTTCAACAAAACCACAATCATCTCTACCAAAATCCCTAATTTCATAGAAGCAAGAAACTAAACTATAACATTCTCTTGAGACCTTCTTCGTCCTTAGTTGAAGTTGTTCGGTATCTAAGCTCCAAAGCTTGAAGCAATGTGATACCACGACTAAGATTCTGGGAACGAACAAATGAAGCTGAGCTCTGAGAACGACCGTTAAAGTAGAAAACGCCATTGACGGTACCGTTATGCTTTCCATCGCCGTCTTGATCCCAATCAACGCCGATCCAAGTTCCGGAGTATCCCTCCACATCTCCGACGTACTTCACGGTACCCACCCGACGCGGATCGTTGAGCGAGTGGACTCGCTGACCGATTTTATAAGACTCGTTGCTTGACTCAGCCTTCATTTTGGAAATTACTTCTGAACAACCGTGAAAACAAATTTGTCGATTTGAGAAATCCGCCGGAAAAATCAAAATGACGTCAGATTAACGTCATAAGTGGGCCGAAACTTAATGGGCTTATAAATCCTCAATAACAGTAGTAAAATAATACGAATGGGCTAATTTAAAGCCCATATGGAAAATAAGTCAAACGATTCTCACGCCGACAGAGGTCAAAGGAACTTAAAGTGGCAACTTTTGTTTTGGCTTTGTTCGGACGAAAGAAGTGTACTTAAGTTTTGGATTAAACTAATACGTAATTAAGACCTTTTTTTAGTTTTTGTTTTTGATGATAATAAGACTCTTAAGTCCTCAAAATAGGAATCCAGCTGCAACACACCATTACAAAAATCGTCTCTAATTAGGAATCCAGCTTGCAATTCACCACTAATTCACATTTACGCACGCACACATATCTCTTTCTCTCAATGTTCATCTTTAGGAAGCCCAATGAACATCTTCCATTGTTGATTAGTGAGAACCATACTTTCTTATCTTTAATTTAGTATTTAGTATTTACTTACAAAAATATTTTGAAATATATAGAGTTTTAATTCTCCAAAACCTGAATTATATTTGAGTATGACATTATATTTTCATATACACTTTAGTATTTTATTTATTTATATTTATTAATTTCATATAATTTGTTTCTTCTAAATTTCAAACACAGCTTTAGTTCTGGATACAACCAAATATATGGAATTTATTTATAAATTTAATAAATAAATATATGTTAATGAATCAAAGCATACATCATTGAATCTTTTCTGAGTAGAAAATTTGAGGTTCGATTCATTGACCCATTTTTAGTGCTTACACTGAGTAAAAAAAACAAACAAAAGGACAAGAAGAATAACCCATCAAATTTGAAGTTTTTTTTCGTGTCATTGTTACCTTGAGTTATTTACAAGTATGAACTATACTAGATCTTTTTTATCAAATCAGAAATATAAGACAAATGAAGTCGGTGGTCTAAAGAAACTTTTGTTTTCTCCTGCTTCTAACTTTCTAAACTCGTAATCAATGACACATGTTTCAACAAAATTAGCTTCTGTTTTTTTGTTATTCAAATTCCTCTGTTTCTGTCTCCTTTCAAGTTAACTTTATATCTGCTGTCTTTTGGGACAGAGAGAATCAAACGTTTATCCTTTTCAAAGCAAGACTTCTTCTCTCCTACACTCTTGTAAAGCAGATATTTACACCCTTTCGCTCTACTTTACACACAAGAAACAAAATTTATGTGTTCAAACGTTAAACTAAAAATGTATACAATTTCTTCCCGGAACTACAAAGAAATCTAACATTTTTATTAGCTCATAGGTTTATGGAGTATATGCCAAATGTTTGCAACAACTATTCAAGAAAACGGTAGACAATAAACGAACGACTATCCATAAGTCCATAACCCATAATCGAAACGATTTTTTTTTTTTTTTTTTTGACATCTTTGGATCGACAAGGTCCGATCCATAGCCAATCCCTACTATGCGGGGTAACGCGACTTACTAGAGTCGAACTCCGGTGGAGAAGGCGGAGTCAAATGGACTTAACCACTTGACTAAAGACACATCTCCAATCGAAACGATTTTATGCTAATGATTATAAGGAAAATAAATATGTATTGTATACATAATATAACATCTAAGATATCATAATTCATAATTAAAATATATATATATATAGTTTAAATATTTAAAACAGATTCAAACATCAATCTACACCAAAAAAATTCAAAAGAAATATCAGTACCAAAAAAATGAAAATATTATAAATGAGAACTAGACAAATATATCCCTTTGAATCTAAATAGTAGATACTAAGCTTTATGTGGAAAAAAATCACAAATAATTGATTCAAACACAATCCAACTAGACAATTTTATCAAATTCTTGATCACAATAGAACACAACATAAAGGTAACCATAAAATCAACTCAACTTATGTCAAACAATATATGCTAATTTTGATAACCATGTATTTTTGAAGTCGAAACTAGTTCAATGTAATTCAAACTGAAAAATTACACAAAAACTAAAGCAAACAAATTGGTTATGGATCGGGCCTTGTCGATCCAAAGATATCAAAAAAAAAAAAGTTAATTTGATTAACAACTCTGTAAAACGGTCTAGATAGTCCAAGACCATCTAACTTTGCTAGATAACAAATGCAATTGTTATTTATGAAATAAAAGATGACTGTAAATATATGAATTTAGGCATACCACCTACCATTCCTACATCTAATTGGAAGACAAAGTTATATTTAGTCTGAATTTTGGTATATAAGATTTATCAGCTAACAAACAAAACATTACCACTTATGTTTTTGTAGTCGAATTGACCTAGGAAAAGGAAGAGTATTATGACCCAGTGAGCTTTGACATTTGTTTTAGGATGAATCCACTTTTTGCACCAACTCTTAGCATCACAAAGTTATGGAAATGGATCACAAAAGGGTCCCATAGATGATGCAAGAAAACCGCGTCTACTATAGCAAATCCAATTTCTTAAAACAAAAACCTTAAGATTCTGCCTCCTTCCTAAAAATTCTCATTAGTTTAATCATATTACTATTTGAGTGAATCTACAGTGCCATTGATACTAACTAGAAAACACTTGTTAAACCCACAAAGGCCCATAACAATTTTGCAGTTTCCTCGAAGCTAACTTTAAAGGCTTTGAGATTTTAAAACGAGTACACAGGAGTTTATCTGCTGTTAAGATACTAATCCACACCTATAAATAAGTACAGACAGTTTTAAACATTCCAACATCAGAATCTAAACAGAACAAATACAAAAACAACAAACACTCTTGAGCAAAACCTTACTTTTGTGTGTCTCTGTGTGTTTGTTAATGGCAGGTCTTAGGAATTCCAGTAACAGCGACAAAGCGCAAAACGATGGGAAAGGTGTACCATCTGCCTACAGAGGAGTCCGGAAGAGAAAATGGGGGAAATGGGTGTCTGAAATCCGTGAACCGGGGACAAAGAACCGTATCTGGCTAGGCAGTTTCGAGACTCCTGAAATGGCTGCAACCGCCTATGACGTGGCAGCATTCCATTTCAGGGGGCGAGAAGCTCGTCTCAACTTCCCCGAGCTCGCCAGCAGCCTTCCACGTCCTGCAGACTCTAGCTCAGACAGCATTCGCATGGCAGTTCAGGAGGCAACACTCTGCCGCACAACCGAAGGATCAGAGTCAGCCATGCAAGTGAACAGCTCAAGCTCCTCCACTGTAGTTCCAACAATGGTCAGACTCTCGCCCACGGAAATTCAAGCGATCAACGAGTCAACTTTGGGATCTCCAACTACATTGATGCATTCAACATACGACTCTATGGTGTTTGCTAATGATATGGAGATGAATGCTTGGGAAACATACCAGAGTGACTTTCTTTGGGACCCTTAGCCCCAAAACCGAACTCATGGAGAGTTTCTACAGCTCAATCTTAGAATACCAGCATAAGTTACTGGCCTAGAATGCTTAATTTTATTGAAGTTTAGTTTTCAGAGTCTAGCACAAGGGTTGTTGATTCTGACGTTATAGCAAAGAATAAAGTTCATCGGAGTTTTGGAGGGAAGGACACTATGAGCTTGATGGGTCCCTGAAAAGGACCTCTTCACAAATATTTTAATTTTTTTTGTAACATAGCTTCTATTTAATAAGCTGTGTTAGAGATTGTGTGAGGTGTGACTTATAATTATTATTTTCAATTGTTTGTTACCCCCATGCTTATGTATTTGGTTTGATATTATATTGTATGGATTCCTCAAATCTATAAGATATTTTTATTCTAAACAAGACTTCTGTTCTCTCTTGACTCTCTTCCCTTAACGCAGAATTGACTAACCGTAAGAAAAATCTACATTTGATACTGCAAGATTTTTACAAGTTGAACAAGTTCAATCTAATTAATTTCTGGAACCAAATTCAGTATATACAGTACTATTAATGCAAGTTCTTGGAAACAAGAGAACAGAATATACTTCTCAGAAATCTTCGAGACACTTACTTGGTGGCTTTGAGAAAATTCAAAGTTGTCTGAATCTACAGTCAGGTTTGTAGGGATGACGAGGAACTCATGACCTCAAGTCTTTGCGCCTCTTCAACACGACCAAACCGATTGAGAAGTTCAATGACCAGTGAATAATGCTCTTCTGATGGATGCAAATTGTACATCCGGAGCATCAAGTTGAAGAAGCGATAAGCTTCATCAGCAAATCCGGCTTGGCTGCAAATAGATAAAATTGCTGTAAATGTGAAGGTGTTGGGAGTAAACCCTCTTGATACCATTTGCTCAAAACACTTTATTGCATCCCTGAAGCGTCCATTGTAGCCATAAGCCTCTATAATGGCGGTCCATGTCAGAGAGCCCTTGACAACAACAGCATCAAAAGAGAAATTAGCACTTCTGAGATCTCCACATTGTCCATACATCTTGATGATTTTTGCAGAAACAAATGGGATAGACTCAAATTCCTTTTTCAGAATGTGCCCATGAAGCTCTTTCCCCAGCTTTAATGCTTTGAGGTCACTGCAAACAGTCAAAACCCTACCCATTGTAACAGAATCTGGCCTGTGCTTTGATAACAGCATTGATCTGAATACCTCAATCCCTGCTCTTAAATCACCATTCTCCACATAGCAGTCGATCATGGCGGTCCATGCTTTCACATTTCTTTGCTCCAACCTGTCAAACAGTCTCACAGGATACTCTGGAACACCGCACTTTGAGTACATCACCATCAAGGAAGTGACTAAAGATACATTTGGCAAGAAAAGATTCTTTAAAGCATAACAGTGAATCTCCTTTCCTTGCTTTATAGCCCTCAGCTCTGCACAAACAGGAAGAACAGTAGCAATTGTAACGACGTCTGGCTTAAAGCCTTCCTGCTGCATCCAAACAATCGACCTCAAAGCTTGATCAAATCTTCCATTGGCTGCGTACCCAGACATCAGTGCAGTCCAAGAAATAGCATTCCTCTGTTTTGAGCCATAGAACACCCGTCTCCCAGAAACCATATCCCCACACTTGCAGTATAAATCAATCAAACCAGAGTGAACAAACGGCTGTTCCAAGTAATTCTTCATTTTCAATACATGGGCATGGACCTCCTTCCCCAGCTTCAGTGCCTTAACATCCCCAAGCACGGGAAGAATCGTTGTAAGTATAACTGAGTTTGGATATATTCCTTCTTCACTAATCATCGACCTAAACAACCCCAATGCTTCCCACTGCCGTTTATTGTGAGCCAATCCAGCAATCATAGCTCCCCAAACAACTATATCTCTCTCTACAATCTCATCAAAAACTCGACGTGCAAGCCCTACTTTACCACACTTGAAATACATATCAACAAGAGAAGTCTTAAGAAAGACACTGTTAAACAAACCATTCTTAATCGCAAGGGCATGCGTCTTCAACCCCTGTCTCAAAGCAGATGCACCAGCAAAGCTCTTAAACACATTAGAGAAACTATAAACATTCAAATCAACACCAAGCTCTCTCATTTCTGTAAACGTAGAAAGAACATCTTGATACCGCTTCTTCCCTGATATCACAGTCCCTCTAAGCAACGCATTCCAAGAATAAACATTTGAGCTAGTACTTTCGTCGAACACCTTCTGTGCATCTCTAACCGAACCACAAGCAGTGTACATATGAACAAGCTTGGTCCTAATAAACTCATTACTCTCCAACCCGTTAATACGGATATGAACATGGACTTGCTTACCGTGAAGTAACGACTTCCGGCGAACACACGCGGCTAAAAGAGCGGAGAAAGTTGTCGCATTTACAGGAATTCCTCTCTGTTCGAGATAATCAAGAATCGTGAGAGCGTCTTCGAGATTGTTCTTCCTCGCAAACCTTTGAATGTCTCTGTGGATACTGTGTGGATTTTTGGAATGGAGAGGAAGAGAAGAAGGGAAAGCATCTCTTTCCCGAAAAGGTTTGGGCTTTTTGGCGGGAGAAGTGGAAGGTCGTCTAGTTCTGCTGGGTCTAAACGGAGATTTCGCCGGAGCTCCGTCTTTATAGGAACGGTAAGGACGGTGGTTGAGGCTCGTCGTCACGGAAAGGGACGGGAGGTCTCGGAATCCGAGAGACGAAACTACTTCCATTGTGACACTACCCACTTAATTAAGCTCAAGGTCGTTAGTAATTTATAGCACTAAAAGATTAGTAATTTATGTTTAAAAGTTTTGCATTTTGAAATTGAAAGCTAATCTTTGGGTCAAGCGAATTGAAATATGGGCTTAAGGCCCCAAAACTTTTGAGCCCATCAGTTTATAAAATTAGAAGTTTAGAACCACCAAAAAAAATTTGTACCACAAATAAACTAGAACATTCGGTTTCATTTATTGGTTTTTATTTTGGTGTTGCTTCAATGAATGAATCTTCCTCGTTTCTATATATAAACGTGAGCTGGGACAAATTCCAAAAAACGTTTCATATTTTCTTCTTATGTGAAATATAAAAAATCGACTCTTCGTTTACCCCCGACAATGTAAATAAATACCGGGGTCTCTCCTTAACTTAACGACACTTCTTTTCTCCGACTCTATCTCTCTCTTTAGAAACTCTAGTCTCTACGAGCCTAATCTTGACGACGATGCCGTCGGTTCCGATCAACTCTCAACCTGAACCTGAATCATCCGAAGAAGAGCTCAGCGACTCCCAAGTTTCCTATTCATCGGAAGACGACTCAATGGACGGCAAACCGTCAGACTCGGGAAACACCAATGGAGGTACATGCATCACTCACACTCTCCTTTTTATTTCAGATTTTCACCATTATATTTCCCATGTTTCTACTTTAAAGAATTTGGATTGTTCGTTAAGAAAAACTTTCCATGTGCATGTACCATGTTCTGTGACTCTGACTCTCTGAGGTTTCAAGACTGCTACGTTGAATCTGGAATTATTTTGAGACATTATTATGAAAATCCTAAAAGTGATTAAGATAGTTTTTGTGTTGTATCTCTAATACTTTGTTAATTTGTTTTTTGCAATGTTGTTAGGTGTTACAGAAACTGAGGCTAATGATACTAAAGATGAGTTTTGGGTTCGGTATCCTTCTTTGAAAATGTTTTTAAGCAAGGAGATAGTCAAAGAGTTTATTCCCGAACAGTATGTTTTGGAGAAAGCGAAGCTTATTGGAGATGATAAGGCCAAAGAGTTGAATGATAAGTGTGATGTTTTGTTTATCAAGGAGATGGAGTATCTCATCAACAAATTTCGCTTCATTGCTGATGTTTTGGAGGAGATGTTTCTCTGAGAACTTTTGGGTGGTGGTGGCTTTGCGTTTGGTTTAATCGTTTTTATTTATTATAAATAATTGTATTCCATCTCTATGAATGTAAAAGATTTCATGAAGGATTTGAATTTATTTCTCTTTCTTTTTTAATTATTATAAATGTTTTTCATCTCTTTATCATGATATACTAAAATAATTGTTAGAAAACTCTTTTTTATCCACATGTTTGCTTCGCTTCTCTCTTCATGTAGATTTGAGAACGAAGGAGCAAGAATTACTAAAATGTATCACTGATCTAAAAACTATGAAAAACCAATTCAACTTTTTATCCACAACACATATTATTCATCAATTTTTTCAATCCATTTTTTCTTATTCTGCTATATTTATTGTCTAGTCTTATATTTTCGAAGAATTATAAAATATCATTTCCAAGGAAAATCATCAATAAATAAGAAAGAGGATTGGAGTATACTTTTTTTTTTTTTTTTTTTTTTTCATCAGATTGGAGTATACTTTAGTACATTGAATATTGTTTGTTGGAGTATAATTGATAGGCACAGTATTCACATGGCATATTGGCATCGATAATCATGGGACTAATAAGAATTTCAGTCCACAAATTCCAAAAGAAATTCAAAATTGAACTCTTAATCAAAAACCCAAATGAGAGCCACAAAAACGAAGACATCAAGAAACGACGATGAGCTGCTTCACTGCTTCTCTCATCTCTTCTTTGACGCCTCCCTCACTCGTCTCGCTCAACCATCTTCCTCCTTATTCCATCGTCCACAGAACCACACTCAAGCCAACAAGCCTTACTCATTCACAGCCTCCTCGATTATCCTCATCCTATGGTCCGGCTGCCAAAGCTGCGACAGCCAACGACGTTGTTCCCGAAACAGCTCCGACATCAGCGTCTGAGGTCGTCTCCAGCTTCTACGCCGCCATTAACATCCATGACTTGTCATCTGTTACAGACCTCATCGCTCAAGACTGCGTCTACGAGGATCTCGTCTTCTCATCTCCTTTCGTTGGCAGAAAGGTGAACACATGGACCAATCTATCTTCTTGTTTCTCTAGAGCCTAATCTCGATTAAACTATGACAGGCAATTCTAGATTTCTTCGGTAAATTCATTGAATCAACAAGTACGGATCTGCAATTCGTGATAGATGACATTTCAACAGAGGACTCTTCAGCTGTTGGAGTTTCTTGGCATTTAGGTTAGTTTCCAAACTCTTTAAACTTACTTAACCTCTAACTTAAGGTACTTGTTCCTGAAAAACAGACTCTTTATGATTGTTCTAATGATAAATCGTAAACTGGGGATTTCGACAGAATGGAAGGGAAAGAATTTCCCATTTAGCAAAGGTTGCAGCTTTTACCGGTTAGAGGTGATTGATGGGAAGAGACAGATCGTGTAAGCACACTCTTCTCTACACAATTTTGCTGCTGCTACTCCAGGTAGACTGACAGAGATGCCAATTTGTCTTCCCGGGCTAAACATTTCTTCTCGGTTTTGTCTGCAGATACGGAAGGGACTGCGTCGAGCCTGCAATCAAACCTGGAGAAACAGTTCTGGTAACATGAGCTACTATTAATTTTGATTGTGTGGATGCATTTGAAATTGCAGACGTAATGCAAATTCAACATCTTTTGCATTTGTGTCTTCAGGTTGCTATAAAGGGAGTTACCTGGCTGCTGCAGAAATTTCCTCAACTGGCTGACCAATTCTGATGTAACTATAACGCTCTTGCTTGATGACGTGAATCAGCTCACAAATAAAGGTTTTCTTTATGGTATATAGGAAAAATACTTCGGCAGCAATCCCCCACCATTGTCCAATTTGTGTTAATGTATATACTAGAAGTTGTCATGTGTTTTCAACTTCATGTCGGTCTGATGATGTGCAGGCGTATATAGAACATGTGCTATTAACTAAATAAATCTCCAGTTGATCATCCTCAGATCAGATAAAAAAAGATGATAAGATCGACGAGGGTCACTTTCATCCTATTTCTTGAAGAAGTTCTTCATCTGAACTTTCCTCCTCGTTGATGGCATAACCAGCAGTGTCTTTCATCAGCTGATTCAGTCCATCTAACAGAGGATAAGTATCACATGCTTGAGGGTTTGATGTGTCCCCCACCGAAAACAGTGAAAACCCAGAATCTGTATTGATCCAAGCACATCCAGGATCTTTTCTCACACCCAAGTCCCTCATGATAGTCCTCACTTCAGCAAGCTTGCTCCAAGAACCAGCAGTTGCATACATATTTGCAATCAATACATAGTATCCCGGGTTCTCTGGCTTCATCTCCAAAAGCTTTTCTGCAGCCCATTTACCAATCTCTGTGTTCCCGTGGATGTGACAAGCGTTCAGTAGAGTTGCCCATGTGGCACCGGATGGCTCATATGGCATTCTGTGAATTATGTCTTTGGCTTTCGCTAGGAAACCCGCTCTGCCATAGAGATCAACCATACAAGAAAAGTGTTGAAGACAAGGCCGTATACCATACTTAGGCTGCATCTTCATAAATAGCCTTTGGCCTTCATGGACTAACTTGGAATGACTGCAGGCTGACAGAACTGCAACCATGGTTACAGGGTCAGGTTTAATACCAGATCTGATCATCTCGTCGAACAGGGCCAAGGCAACTCGCCCTTCACCCTGATTTCCGTATCCATCTATCAAGGAAGTGTACGTTACTTCGTCTATTTCGCTCATCAGATTAGATACTTGCTTCGCAGCTACAATTTTTCCTGATTTTGCATAAACATCAACAAGGGAGTTCCACAGCATTGTATAGTCCTTGAAGCACTTGCGCCTCAGGATGTAGCAATGAAACTCTTTTCCATGTTGCAGGTTTGCAATCCGGGCACAAAGAGGGAGAATGCTTGCAAGTGTAATGAAATTTGGCTGAAAGCCAGCAAGCAACATCTCCCTCAGCAGGTAAGAGGCTTCTTCTGATTTATTCACTTGCGCATAGCCAGAAATAATAGAGTTCCAAGTACACAAACTATTTTCTTCAGTCTTTTGAAACACTATAAAGGCGTTCCTAAGGTCATCGCATTTTGAGTACATTGTGATCAACGTGTTTCGAACATTGTCAATCCCATCGTAAGAACGGTGAATAGCAAGACCGTGAATCTCTTTTCCCAATCGTATTGCTCCTATGAGTGAGCAAGCCTTCAAACCAATAATCATAGCCACAGGATCTAAGCTCGTGGGGAAATTTCTCATCCTAGAGATCAAACCCAAAGCTCCTACATAGTTTCCTGTATGCAAATAACCTCCAGAAATAATATTCCAAGTTATGACACTGACTTCAACACCTGAGAACCTCATTTTATCAAAAAGCTCAAACGCTTCACTCCACATGCCTACCGAAGCATAACAGTTTATAACTGCATTCCATGAGACAGCATCCCTTTCCGACATATGATCAAACAACCTCCGAGCAATACCCACATTTCCAAACCTTTTATACATAGAGATCAATGCATTGCAAACATACAAGCTGCACTTGTAAGAGCTAACCTCGATGGAACCATGAACCACTCTTCCAGAGGCAACGTCAAGTGTTTCACCACAGGCCTTGAGAACAGACGGATAAGTGAAGGCATCGGGTCGAATTCCCTTGCTCACCATTCTCTTGTAAGCAGCAACAACCTCCTCAAAAAGCTCGTTCTTGGCATACGAAGCAATGAGCACATTCCAAGGTAAGGGATGCAAAATATCTGAGTTCTCATTAATCGATTGAGCTTCCCTGTGAAGATTAAAAGCAGAGTAAAAAGTAACCAGCTTTGGGACCAAAGCAGAGTGATATTCCACACCGGACGAAACACAGTGAGCGTGAATTTGCAGCCCCGGCACAAATGCAAGAACATCAACGCAAGCGGATAAAAGGGAAGCCGCGGAATGCAAAACAACATCACCTGAAACTGCAGAAGGAGAAGATTGAAGACGAAGAAGAGAAAACGTTTTGAAAGCGTCGTGCAAATGACCGTGGCTGGCCAAATGTCCAAGAGATTTAAAAAGACTCTCAATCAGCATTGATTCATTGTGGGTTTTGGGAGTTCTTGGGGCGGTAATGGGTAGATTTCGGAATTAGACTACAAGGTGAGAAAACTTCATTGAAGCATATCATCGAACACGTGGTGAACCAATACTTTCTACACACTTAAACCCGAAAAGCAGAGAGTATATCCATAGCAGAATCTATATATGATTGAGAATGAATGAAACATAGGTAAGAGAGATAGATATTGGAACAAACAAAGCAAAGTGGAAGAATGCGCGCGAAAAAACGCAACGAGACTCTGAAGAAGAAGAAGAAGACGCCTTGTCGGCTACTGAAGTTATGAGCCTTTCTTCTAAAAGGCCCATCTTGGCCCAAACTTCTACAAGGCCCGTTGAGGCGTGTTGGCAAAATGGAGGCTCATATAAAAAAATTGTGGCTACCATCGTTCTTCTTCTTTTTCGTTATCCACTTGTCTCTCTCCTTTGTGTGGTCAAATGCATTTCCCTCCATTCTCTTTCGCTCTCTCTCACACTCGTCCATGGCGACCACCGCATCTTCGTCTCTCCCTCGTAATTACTCCTTCACACCTCCTCGTCCTCCTCCATCTTCAATCCGCGGACCTGGAACGCTGCCGCTTTATCTCCGCCGTAACCGACGGTTAGCTTTAACTTACCGATTGGACCAGAATTCGAAGCGGAGAAGTGGTGGTGGAAACGTAAGATGCGAGGCGACGGAGGTATCTTCTTCTTCGTCTGTATCCACACCTGGAAGGAATTGGGTGCCGGTTGTGCCGTTATCGGCGCTTCCGAAAGGTGAACGGCGAGTGGTTATTCAAGACGATGAGACGATATTGTTGCTTTGGTATAAGAACGATGTGTTTGCTATTGAGAATCGTTCTCCTGCTGAAGGAGCTTATAGCGAAGGACTTCTCAACGCTAGGCTCACTCAGGTCTTTTACTTTTATAATTTGAGCATAGAAGGTGTTTGTGAAAATGCTTGACCTAGTAGAGTGATAGGTTTTAGGAAATGAAGTTTACGATATAAGACATCTTTAGCTCCTTAATGGTGCTTCATCACATTCTATGAATTACATGTTCCCTGTATAACAGTAGGTACTTTTTGTTGGAAGTACTCTTGGTTTCTCTAATGGTAAGTGGTCTCTTGTTTGGCTATTACATCAGGATGGTTGCATTGTGTGCCCATCGACGGATAGTACGTTTGATCTTAGAACTGGAGAGATCCGGGAATGGTACCCGAAAAACCCGGTTCTCAGAGTCTTGACACCTGCACTGAGGAAACTATTTGTGTACCCTGTCAAATACGATGAGGAAAACATCTATATCAGCATTAGAGACAGTGGGAAAACAGAGGCAGCTGCTGAGATTGTCTTCAGTGGAAAAGCTCAGCCTGGGCTCACAGCAACAAACGTCAATGTAGATGAGGTAAAACAATAAGATAGACGACAAATGTAAATCTGTTACATCTAGGAAGACAAAAACTGAAAGAGTGATATGATTAATTTTTGAATCACAGGTGAGAATGATTGTGGACGAGGGGTCTGAAGGATTTGGTTTCACGGTGAAGAACGAAGTGATAAATGGGAAGGCGGCAGTGATAGGATTCTTGCTGCTGTTAGATTTTGAGCTATTGACAGGTAAAGGTCTATTGAAGGGAACAGGTTTCTTGGACTTCCTTTACTCTGCTTCAGATGCTTTCAAGTAGAGATAATATCATTGTTGGTCTGCTTTTGCTTGCCTCGTTTGTGCAGTTTGCCGAGAAACAAAACAAAATACTTCAGTAACGACTCAGACCATGTCTTAGTATATAGAGATGGCTTTGCTCTGTCTTTGTTTGTGTTTTACCCTCTTATACGAGATATTCTTTCTTCTCCGTGAATTCAATTTAAAACCTTCTATCTGTTTTGTTTGACATACAACAGTTCAATTTCATTGGATGAAACAAAAATTCTTTCCTTAACAATACTGGCCACTTTAGTCTTCATTTCTCCTAAGGGGTTTATGATAGGTTTTCATTTAGCTATGCAATTCTTTTTTTTCAACTAAATGGTTTTTCTTTTAACATTGTGTTTTCATAATTTCTTTTTATTTAAAAATAAATTGAATTTACTTAAGTTTATGAGAATATGTAATATCTAAAACTCAATACTTTTCAAAAGAAATAATAATAGCTTTCTAAGTAATAAATCTCAATGTGATGGACCTGTTTACCAAAACTTCGTTATAATGTTTTGTGAATTAAAAGAAGAAAGGAAGGTCTTTGTAGATAAGATGGTAAGGAGAGAGAGCTCATTGCATTCAAATTGGGTTGCTCAAAAGTGAGTGATTACGTGTGCTGAATCTTAGTTAGTTTTGTGTTAAATTTGTGTACCATTCATAAATAAGAGGGAAAAAAAAGAGACTACAAAATACAAATCCCAAATCCCTTTATTAGTCGTTTTCAGTGTGCAAAACAAGACAAGACAAAAGATAACTTTTCTGTCTTTTCGTCAAACATAGAAAGACCTAGAAGAGCACAGCACCCGTTTAAAGACTATTTTGAAGACGTCATGCCTGATGAAAATGTAACCAAACAAAAGAAGAGAGAGAGAGGCAAGTCTCACGTTTTCTTGTCAAGTTTCAGCACGTGATGTCGTGATGAAACTGTTGTGTACTTGTGTGATTTTTTTATTTTTCTTTTCTATCAGACTTTGAATCAAGTCGTAATGATAGAAGCCATCAGATGATACGAATATATTACATCTGTACATTTTTTTACTGATAGAAACTAGATTTTAACGCGGTACACCACGGAATGATTTAATTTTAAAGTTAGTATAAAAATATTTTGTAAATTATATCTTTTTATAACATATTTATTTATATTATAGTTTACAATTGTTATTAAGTAACGGTATATCACGAGTCCACGAGATAATTATTAATAAACAGAGGATTTAACCCATATTAAAGCGGTATATAAATATTGATTCAAATTCGTCCGCCATATAAATCATTTCCGAAATATAACCTGTTCCGTAATTTCTTAACCCGTCCTGTGATTTGTATTAAAAAAATTAAGGATTAAATCCGTATTGAAGCGGCGGATTAATGATATTTTAATCTTTTTATTATTGTTGATTCAAAAACCCGTCCCGCCAAACCCATCCCGCCAAAAAACTCATTTATTTTATTAATGTTCTTATTTATGATATGATTCTGAATCATTGTCTAAATATTTTAATCGATGTAGAACGTTGAACACACATTTTCGTCAATTAGATAATATATGTCCGTTTTTAAAATTTCGAATCACAGTATATGCAAAAAAAAAAAAATTTTTTTTAACTTTATGTATTATATGATGATTCAAAATAGTTAAAAACAAATCAAACAAAGATGATAGGAGAATCATAATTATAAATCTTAATCAAATCTTCTAAAAATCTAAATTATTAAATATGGAATATCCGGTGTATGAGTTGGGTTAAACATAACCTGACCCAACAAATTTTTTGTGAAGAAATTTTTAAAATGGGTCGGATATCCGATATACCCGAAAGCTTTTTTACCCATCTGTCACAAAAGTGTTGCGATTATACTAGTATAGATACAAAATATATTCGTATCATCTGATGGCTTCTATTATTAGGAAAATAAATATATACAGGTTACATCTACATTTTTTACTACGAATATATTTATTTTCCTTTTTAAAATACAAAATCACGATCGATTCTGATTAGATAGTATATTTTTAAAGAGTTTTATGATGAAATTTGCACCAATTTGTTTTATAACAAGTTTATTTTTATTTGAGAAATTTCTTAAACTACAAGGCTTTTGTAGCTATTAGCTAAACCATTTTGGCTTTTTGTTCAATACTTGACGTAAAAAGGAGAAAAATTAAAATAATATTATTTGTAGACAACAGTATTTTGATATCTGCAGCTAAATCAACAATTAATCACGCAATATGTCTACAATGATCCATATTATCCAGTATCCATCGCTTTAATTACGTTGAAAATTCATTTGTTTATCCAATTGGGTATTTAGTTGATGATGTAAACTTCAACAAGTTGAAACTTGAAACACGACTCGAATCTTCCAAAGAACCGAAAAGCTAAAACTAAAATAGAAAACGTCAACCAGTGCGAGCCACATGTCCATATCTCATATTCCCCTGGTCATACTTTGACCATATATTATTAGTTTTTTTCCTCTTAACCCAATTATTATTATATCTTTATATACATTCGTATAGTGTTTATTCGGCATCGGACTCTACCCGACTTTATTCTGCTTTCAACGTATTTATATTCGACATTTCCTCTCAAGATCATATAATCTCATCTTCATGCACCCAAAAAATGGACTCAAGAGCCGGAGAAACTGATCAAAGCAAGTACAAAGGTATCCGTCGTCGAAAATGGGGAAAATGGGTATCAGAGATTCGTGTTCCGGGAACTCGTCAACGTCTTTGGTTAGGCTCTTTCTCCACCGCCGAAGGCGCTGCCGTAGCCCACGACGTCGCTTTTTACTGCTTGCACCGACTATCTTCCCTCGACGATGAAGCTTTTAACTTCCCTCGTTTGCTCCCAACCTCCCTCGCCTCCAATACATCTCCTAAGTCAATCCAAAAAGCAGCTTCCGACGCTGGCATGGCCGTCGACGCCGGTTTCAACATAAACAACGATTCTGCTGTGTCTGGGAGTGGTGGTTGTGAAGATAGATCTTCCATGGCGGCGAATATGGAAGAGGACAATGAACTTAGTATTTCCGTGTACGATTATTTGGAAGACGATCTTGTTTGATCTATATGAGTACGTTTTTAGCAGTTAATATAGGATGTGCATAGGGTTAGGATCTGTTTACTTTTTACTTCTTCTTTTTTCATTACACTTCTGAGTTTTTTGTCCCACGTGAGCTCTCATTTCTCAGGCTTCTTTTCTCATTAAGAAACAAAAAAAATTTACCCAAGCTCAGGGATGATTTACATTTTATAGAGGTATCATAAAAAGCTATTGCGGTTAAAACTATCCAAAGTCCACTCGTATACACATATGGAAACAATTCAAATCATGATTATGGAAGGATATTGCATAGACTTCAGAGAAAAGTTGACACCAGAGAAAAGATTGTCGGGCTTTATGAATAAAAAGAGGCCCATTTTGTGAAATCAATGAGACCCAATTTTGAACGGAAGAAAAACAAATCAGTTAGTGAAAGCGAAAGGTCGTTGACCCATTTGAATCTAGATTCTAGAAGAAAAAGGGACCATTGAGTGGTACGCACGTTCCAGTTTTCTATGACAACAAACTCACAAAAACGTGAGAGAGACAACAAAAATGAAAGTTTTTGGTCGCCGACCATATCACCAACACCAGAGTAGAGAGATAGATAGATAAAGAAAATCGGCAAAACATCAAGTATTTTTCTTATTAAGTAGGAGTTTGAGTGGTCATTTGTTTGTAATGGGTTGTATTTGTGCCACCGCCCGTTCACCAAGCGCCGCCGTTACCGATAAAGACCTATTAGATTCCAGCAAATCCATCCTTCAACTCATCCCTCATCATCCTCCGTCGTCTTCCTCTTCATCCAAAAAGGAAGGATCTTTCACATGTACGACTTCTTCAGCTTCTATCACCATTGTGGCTAATGGTTATCCTGTGGCGCGCCGTCCCTCCACGTCATCTGATCGAAACAGCACTAAACCGGTGGTTATTGTGGGAGCTCCGACTAGGAACCCCACCAGAAGAGTCACCGCTATACCGGTTGCGCAGCCATCGCAGCAGCAGACAGGACGTGTGATGAACAATAAAACCGAACTCACCGGCGCAGAATGGCCGTCTTGGTTGGCTTCTGTTGCCGGAGAAGCCATTAAAGGATGGGTTCCTCGCTGCGCAGAGTCCTTTGAGAAGTTAGACAAAGTTAGTTGATCTTCTCTGTTTTCTTTCAACGAAATCTTTCGTTCGTGACCTTAAACAGTCATGATCCTCCAAAATTCTTGAAATAACAATTTATGTTGTGTGTATTGTTATAGATTGGACAGGGGACTTACAGCAGCGTATACAAAGCTAGAGACCTTGAAACGGGAAAGATTGTGGCGATGAAGAAAGTTCGGTTTGTGAACATGGATCCAGAAAGTGTCCGGTTTATGGCCAGGGAGATTCTCATTCTTCGTAAGCTTGATCACCCCAATGTTATGAAGCTAGAAGGTCTAGTCACCTCTAGACTCTCAGGTAGCCTCTACCTAGTCTTTGAGTACATGGAACACGATCTCGCAGGTCTAGCCGCAACTCCTGGAATCAAATTCTCTGAACCTCAGGTATTACATAATTCTGTTTTCCTATACACTTTGAAAGATTGGAATATTCAAGTTAGAAAAGAGTCTTACTTCGTTTTCAGATCAAGTGCTATATGCAGCAATTGTTCCGTGGGCTTGAACATTGCCACAGACGAGGAATTCTCCATCGTGATATTAAAGGATCAAATCTCTTGATCAATAATGAAGGTGTCTTGAAGATTGGTGATTTTGGATTGGCGAATTTTTACCGGGGTGATCAGGATCTGCAGCTGACCAGTCGTGTTGTAACCTTATGGTACAGAGCACCTGAGCTGTTGCTCGGTGCCACTGAGTATGGACCAGCCATAGACCTGTGGAGCGCTGGCTGCATTCTCACTGAGCTCTTCGCCGGAAAGCCTATTATGCCAGGACGTACAGAAGTAATGGAACTCTCATACCTTACTAGTTTCTTCTGAACATTTTTTAGCACTGGCTTTGTAATCCGAAACACCATCTACTCAGATTCTGATTCTCAGAGCTCTATTTTTCATAGAACACAGCAGCTGCTGAGATAATTATCCTTTTTTGCTTCTCAGGTGGAGCAGATGCACAAGATCTTTAAGCTCTGTGGTTCACCCTCGGAAGATTATTGGAGAAGAGCAACACTGCCACTAGCAACAAGCTTTAAACCGAGTCATCCTTACAAGCCTGTTCTTGCTGAAACCTTTAACCAGTTCCCACCATCAGCTCTGATGCTCATCAATAAGCTACTGGCAATAGAACCTGAAAAACGGGGATCGGCTGCTTCTACCTTGAGAAGCGAAGTAATATATCGATACTAACATGTTTCTTAAACAAGTTATTAGATGCATTCTCATGATCGGTTTAAAACTTTCTTCTCTTCAGTTCTTCACCACGGAGCCACTCCCTGCTAATCCATCAAACTTACCTAGATACCCACCAAGCAAGGAACTTGATGCTAAGCTTCGCAACGAAGAAGCAAGAAAGTAAAGCTACATACATCTTCATTCGCTAGTCCTTCTCTTGGGGGGGTTTTCTAATGAAAGTTTTGTTTGCAGACAAAGGGCAGAAGGTAACAAGAGAAGAGGGGGAGAAACGGTGACAAGAGGACGGCCAAAGGATCTCAAAACAGCCCAGACACCTGAGTTTATGGCTGCAGGGCAGTCCAAAGTCACATGCATCAGCCATAAGTTCAAAACAGACGAGGAAGGTGGCACCGGGTTTAGGATAGAACCACCAAGAAGAGGGATCCAGCAGAATGGTAAAGCACATGCTTCTTCAATGGTTCACCCAACTGTGGCTGATACAGAATGGAACAGAGGTGGAAGCATCAGAAGACAAACTAATGCAGAGCTGAAGTCTAAAATATCTCAAACAGGAGACTTGTCTGGTGAATCTTATAGGAGAGATTCCAACAGAGATTACTCAACCGTAAGCCTCCTCTTGTTATATTGTGTACGTCAACCTCTTGGTATGTAATTATTATTAAGTTGTTTTGGGCTGTGTCAGGGCAATGCACCAAGGAAAAACAGAATCAATTACTCAGGACCATTGATGCCTCCTGGTGGGAATCTTGAAGATTTGCTTAAAGAGCATGAGAAGCAGATCCAACAAGCTGTCCGCAAATCCCGTGTGGAAAAGTCTGCATCAAGGAAAAACCAAGCTTTAACAGGACAACAACAGCAGCAACGATACACAGGAAGAAATGCTCGGTAGCTAAAAGAAAAAAAAAAAAAAGCCATAGAACTCATAAGCGTTTTTGTTGTTGTTGTGCCTCTTCTGTGGTTGAAGCCAGGGATTGATACAATGTATAGTCGATTTGTTTCTTAGGCCAACAAGATTGACCACACTATAATGTCAAGCTACCTTTTGTATATACACAAGGTCTATCTATTGAGTTGAGTCAAACAAACAAACATGTATTTGCAAGGCAAAGCAAAAACAAAAACTCCAAATTTGCTACTAATTGAAGATAGTGTTCCCAAGTGCTAAAACAAAAGTTACATTCTATGATTCTGGCTCAGCTCCCACATGATAATCTCTGCAACAGTTCTACGTATCAAGCTAAAGCTACTGAGCAAAAACTTTAACGAGAAAAAAAAAAAAAAGCTGAATTCTTGAGAAATTAGAAAACTTTTTGCATAAACAAGTTTTTGCTCTGACTTCACTAAAGGTACTGATTACTGAGATAAAATTCCACGAGAAAAAAAAAAAAAACGGTGAATTCTTGAGAAATTAGAAAACTTTTTGCATAAACATGAAAAGTTCCATCATCAACCCAAAAAACTTCACCGATCATATCCCCAAAACCAAATCATATGTCTCAATCGAAAGACTAAACCCTAAATTGGGGCCTCATTTTGTCAGAACTCAGAACTATTTTACGGTACAATTAATGGGTATGGAATCAAAGATCCGACAATATACGGGTATTCGGGTCAAAGTTGTCATGTGGTAGTAGATGAGCGAGCGGAAGCTGATATAAAAATTCACTTTTTTTTTAACAGTATTATTATCATTATTTTCTTGCAAAGGTTTGAGTTCAAATCTCTTAATTAGGATATTTTATTTATTTCTCGTTTTATAAATACAAAATGATATTATATAAATAAATAAAAAAACATAGCGTACAAAGTTATAAATTTTCAATGCCTAATTACGGAATGTTGTTGACAAAAAAAACACTGTAATAATTCACAGAATGTCAAAATCAAACATATTTGGTCATACTTCTGTATTTTAATATGGATGATATTTTTACACACATTAAAAAATAGTAACTCGTGTAACAGATTTGATGATTCTATATGTAATTTTACGGAACTTTGGTAATAAGCAGTGTAATTTTATGAAATTTTCTCAGTTTATATTTTTTTTTGGTGAGAACGAATTTTCTCAGTTTATATAGTTAGACGATTTGTTTACCTTTTCTGATTTTTCTTCACAAACACACACACAAAAAAAAAAGGCTTATTGAATTGTGGGAAAGCTAGAACATCGGGACGAGTAAGGCTAGAAATGTTGGTAAAGAAGAAAAGATCTGAAAGAAAATAAAATAGGAAGAGACCAGAGTCGTTGGATTTCGCAAGTGACTTTTTTACTTATGGGATTAACCGCAGACTCGTTCAAAAGACCATCCTCACTTTCCTAGGATCCAAGTAATCAAAATTCACTTTCACCCTAATTACATCTCTATTTAAACAACACCACTTTTTTCAATCCTCACTAACAAGTAATTACCCTTCTCTTTTTTTTCTTCTTTTTTTTTGTTTTCTTCTCTATACATATTGTATTAAAAGAAAAATACACTTTCCTGTATTTTTAATTTTTTTTTGTGAGTATTAAAGAAAACACAAGACAAGAATGACATACCACGTACCTCCTCCAGCGGTAACTATCTGCTTTGTCTTTCCTTCTTATGGCAAAGAGTGTAGAATTTTGGTCCGACTTGTCTTTTCTCTAAGTATATTACATCACATGAATAGTTTAGTTTCATCAATGAGACTCTTAACATTTTATCATATTCTTCTTTCCTGTGAAACAAAATATTGTACCGTTAATTAAGCGCTGTTAGTGCTTTTTATGTCCATTCTACAACATACATTATTACAACATCTTTATATTAATCAAGCCAAAAATCTTGATCAGGATGATGAGGAGAACAAAGGAAGATCAACAGACAATAACAATCACCGTCAAATGGATTACAACGATTGGTTACCAGTCACAGCGTCTAGAGAGGCCAAATGGTATTACTCCGCCTTCCATAATGTCACGGCCATGGTTGGTGCCGGAGTTCTTGGTCTCCCTTTCGCAATGTCACAACTTGGCTGGTAATTTTTCAAGAAATGGTTTACTTTTTCTGATCTTTCTTCACAAAATAAAGTCGTTATAGTATTTAACGAAAAATTTGTTACTAATTAACAGGGGACCTGGACTTGTTGCGATAATAATGTCATGGGCTATAACGTTCTACTCGTTATGGCAAATGGTGGAGTTGCATGAAGCCGTTCCCGGGAAACGGTTGGACCGTTACCCCGAGCTAGGCCAAGAAGCGTTCGGACCAAAACTAGGTTACTGGATCGTCATGCCGCAACAGCTTATGGTCCAAATCGCTTCCGACATAGTCTACAACGTGACAGGAGGCAAATCGCTTAAGAAATTCGTCGAGCTTCTCTTTCCGAATCTCGAACATATCCGTCAGACTTATTACATCCTCGGGTTCGCGGCGCTCCAGCTTGTCCTCTCTCAGTCTCCTGATTTCAACTCGATCAAAATCGTCTCTCTCCTCGCCGCCCTCATGTCTTTCCTGTATTGTCACCAAACCCTAAAACCCAAAACAAACAAAACATTCTTCTTTTTGTTTTCTGAATATTTATAAGGACACTTAAACTTGTTGCAGTTACTCAATGATAGCTTCCGTAGCGTCAATAGCGAAAGGAACGCATCACCGTCCTTCAACTTATGGAGTCAGGGGAGACACAGTGGCCTCAATGGTCTTTGATGCATTTAATGGCATTGGAACCATAGCGTTTGCGTTTGCAGGACATAGTGTGGTTCTTGAGATCCAAGCTACTATTCCTTCAACACCTGAAGTTCCTTCCAAGAAACCGATGTGGAAAGGAGTTGTCGTAGCTTACCTAATCGTCATCGTTTGTTACCTTTTTGTGGCTATCTCCGGTTTTTGGGCTTTTGGTGATCTTGTTGAGGATGATGTTCTCATTTCCTTAGAGAGACCAGCTTGGCTTATAGCTGCTGCTAATTTCATGGTTTTTATCCATGTCATTGGAAGTTATCAGGTGTCTAGTTTTTTCCTTATCTTTTGTTCACTTAGGAAAAAGTTTCTCCAAAACTTTGATTACAATGATCATCTTGACAGGTTTTTGCGATGATCGTTTTTGACACAATCGAGTCGTATCTTGTGAAAACACTGAAATTCGCTCCTTCAACAACACTGCGTCTAGTCGCACGTAGTACATATGTTGGTTAGTTAATTCTCATTTAGCTTCTCTTTTACTTTTCTTTTCTTGGAGAAATAGAAACTGAGATAATTCTTGGTTTGTGCAGCATTGATATGTCTTGTAGCAGTTTGTATCCCCTTTTTCGGAGGTCTTTTAGGGTTCTTCGGCGGTCTTGTCTTCTCATCAACCTCGTACTTCGTAAGTTACTCTACGTAAAGAATGAACATAAATCTAGTTCTTTGCAAACATTATATATTATAAAGGTGGATGATAATGATACCTCTTTAATTTGCAGTTGCCTTGCATTATATGGATGATCATGAAGCGACCAAAAAGATATAGCGTCCATTGGTGGTGCTCAATTGTTAGTCTTTCTTTCTTAATTCAAATAGGCTCATTCACAAGCTAATTAACTCAATAACGCTTTAATCCGTTTTCTTAACTACAGATATCAATAGTCACTGGAATCTTGATAGCAATTCTTGCGCCCATTGGAGGAATGAGACACATTATTCTTTCAGCAAGAACTTACAAGCTCTTCTCATAGGCTTTAAATAAAAAGCCTTGCAACCAAACAATATCACAACAAACTTATAAAAGTTTTTAACTTAAATTAGCCGTCTAGTTGGAGAATATATATAGTTAGTTATTCGATTATTTGGCTTCTCGTTTTCTTTTTATAACCCGTTCATCAAGAACTGCCTTCCGAATTGCTGTGAAGGCTTTACGCGCTTGGCCTTAGGCTGCGACTGATGATGTTCTCTCAAACACTTCATGTAAAATCACCTAAAAAGGAATACCATACAATATGTGGTCAACCTCAGGCTCTAAACTTGCAGGTTTTTGGTTTTTAGTTTTTTTTTTTTTTTTTTTTAATTAAGTCTAGAGTTTCTACTGCAGGTAAAAAAAAAGCCTAAACGGCAGTATCATAACTTTTTGTATGGATTGTAATAAAACATCTGAATAATGAGATTGGCTTTTCCGTTTTCCCGCTGTTGAGTTTGTTTTTAAATGCATATCAACGAAGCCGAGAAAAAGTAGAAAAACAGAGATGTACATGTAAAACAGAGAAGCAAATTACATAAACAGAGATGTACTTTAGTAACTTTGAGATAGTATCTCAAGACACAAAAAAAACTAATGGAGTTTCCTAAAAATTAGTCTCTTCGTTTCTAATTAATCCAAGTTTTAGGAAAAAAACCTATTTCAAAAAGATAAAATTTTAAAGTTTTCAATGCATTTTTTATTAGTTAATGATGATGAATTGTAAACTTTAAGAAAAATAATTGAATACTATTGGTTTAGTTATATAAAATTAGTAATAAAAAAATATGATGCATTAATAATTAAATTTTAACTTGTTTTCTTGAAACTTGGAACTTGGATTTATTAGGAAGAGAGAGTATAAAAAATAAACATCTAATGGAGTTTCCTAGAAAAGCATTTTACAATGTAAATATATATATATAGATTATTGACTATACTCTTGTTTTTATTAGAGTAAAAAAATAGTGTTGTAAATTGTAACTGCTATATTACTCTTTAACCTTAATTGGGCCCTATAAGCTGATATGACACCATAACCTTTATTAATTAGCAAATTACTATTGTTAGCATCGACGTTTCAATGTGAGTCACACCAATAATCAAACTACCACATGACAAAGCTCAAAAGAAAAATTAAAAAGTTTTGTCTCTTTGTCCCCTGAAGACTACAAAAACCCTTTCTCTGCAGTAAAAACTGTAACGTATGTCACTTGAGCAACGAGAATTAGCACAATCTCTCTGCATTCCAATGACGACTAATCTCCCATTTCCGATGACCCCCAAACTCATACTCTCTAGCTTCGTGTCTCTCGTCGTAATCACTCTCTTCTTCATCACCAGAACCGGTTTCTCACCGTCTTCTTCAATATTTCAGCCTCTGAACAACACTCTCCGGATCTCCACTTCCTCCACCGGAAGTAAGTTACAGAGCTCAAAATCCACAAGTTGTAGTAAGATCCCTCCTTCGCTCGCCGATGCTCTCGTCCACTATGCCGCCTCCAATGTCACTCCCCAGCAAACACTCTCCGAAATCTCCGTCACCAAGAAGGTAACAAAGTACATTTTTTAATTATCACAAAAAAAAAAAAAAAAAAACTATTTACATGTAAACTTCAGATTGTTGATTGATATAAATCAAGAACTCAAATTCTGAAAAAAAATGAAATATGATAATTAGCAAAATTAAATCAGTTTAGATGAATCTAGTCCAATCTTTTGTACTAATTAATGTTGCGCAACCGTGACATAACTATCAAATTTAGTAGTCCGGTAGTGAATGTGAATTTTAGACGTCACAAAAAAATAAGCAAATGACCGTAGTTAATTTGCTCCTTTTTTCGTTTACTAGTGAATTTGTTATCGTGTGTTTTATAACTTAGCGTAAATATGAATTAAATAGTGTAAATGGGAATTAAATTGTAAATGATGACACAAAAAAGAAATGATACAAATTAAATTGCATCAGGTTTTAGAGAAGAAATCTCCGTGCAACTTCCTGGTATTTGGTCTTGGTCGCGATAGCTTGATGTGGGCGGCGCTAAATCACGGAGGAAGAACCATCTTCTTAGAAGAGGACGAGTTATGGATTCACAAAATCGCTGAGAAATTCCCGTCTCTGGAATCGTACCACGTCCGGTACAATACCAAGGTAAGAGACGCAACGGCTCTCATGGCAGCGACGAGAGACAGGGAAGAGTGCCGTCGCGTGTCAACTGATCTTCGTGTGTCTGCGTGCGAGCTTGCGTTGAAGGGCTTACCAGAGGTGGTTTACGAAACAGAGTGGGATTTAATCATGGTGGATGCTCCCACGGGGTTTGATGACGAAACTCCAGGGCGGATGACAGCGATTTATACAGTGGGGATGATAGCGAGGAGGCGGAAGGATGATGGAGAGACAACGGCTGTGTTTGTGCATGATGTGGATAGGAAAGTGGAGGATGAGTTCTCAATGGAGTTTTTGTGTAGAGATTACATGACGGAGCAAGAAGGAAGACTCCGCCATTTCACGGTGCCTAGCCACCGGAACCATGGTTTCTCCGGCGCTAAATTATGTCCCTAACTCTATCCGCCGGTAGAAACAATCTATGGTTGGATGATGCTTTTAAACTAGCAAAAATATCCGGAGCTCCACAGGCTTCAGAGATTAGTGTGATTTATATATTAAAAAAAAAAGATTATGTTTTTTAATTATTATTTCATAATTGATGATATTGAAAGGAAAAAAAAAACGACGAGTAGATTGATTTTGGACCGTTTGGTGACACAGTAGACGTTTTCAAAACGTCTCAAAAGGAAAACAGATTTGACTCAAAATCTTACAAACAGAAACTACAAAGACAACACCAAGTTTTTTAATTTCTAGTTGATAGTCTTTCATAATCGTTAATTGAGACTAGCCAATTCCTGAATGTTGATTGGATACGCGACAGTGCGGTCACCAGCAAACGCTTTCTTTGCCATTATGAGATTAACTTTCTCGGTAGGATGAAACGCGTCCCAAAACACATACTGGTCTCTGTTAGGACAAGGCGTTTCAAAGGGAAGACAAGTGATCTGTCCTCTGTTCTTTCCTATCCCGCAACATCCTTTGTCCATAGTAGTAAGCCCTATACAACAAACAACACATCATTATTAGCTATAGATATTAATTAGTTAGAGTTGGTTTAGCTATCTTAACGTTTGTTAATTACGTACGTACCATAAGCTGCTTGGTTCGCAACGATGTCTTCGAACATATGAGCGATGTCGAGGTAAATAAATTTAGCAGCCGGGAGATTCTGGTTGAGATTAGAGATCATTGTTTTTACGTTTGTGTTGAAAGGAAGAACAAGTTGGTTAACTTCTTCAGAGCATTTACCGTCGTTTCCTTGAGCTAAAATACTAGGAATGCATCCCATTCTTCCAAGTCCGGCCACTACAAATTTCCGACCACCGAGATTATAGAGTCTCTGCATTACAAAAAAGTAAACAATATATTTTGATTACATTTTAGCTTCTTGTTTGTTTAGTACTATTAAATAAGATTAGAGATCATTCTTTTGTTTTTGTTGTATTACGGTGAGCTGATTGGTGTAATGTTGAACCAAGAGATCGCCGAATTGTTGGGAGTTGTATTGGTTACGGGTAGGGAAATTGGGCATCAAGTAATTGTTGAGATAGTCGTTGCTTCCCATTCCGATGAAGAACAAGCTTCGAGTCACCGAATCTGCAATGGCCACTGCACCACCGGACTTGCTAGCCACCTGATCTAACGTTGTCTCGAAGTTATGAATCTGTTGGTCGAAAGGTATGCGTCCCACCTGACCACCAGATCATAAACTAAACGTTAATTTCTCGCATTTACCCGGGCCATGCACAACCATTTTTCTTGGTATAATATGTAATTGACCACAATGTTGATCATGAACATAGCTCATGTGACGTGACCACCACTGAAAATATATTTTCTTTATTAAAAAAAAAACAATGGAAGCATTTTGATTGATTTGATAATTTTTGTTAATGATCATTGATTTTTCTTCATTTTTAAAAAATAAATTTTAAAGTTGAAATCAAATTAGAAAAACTAGTTCATTAATGATTTAAAATAACATAAATTAATTTTTGATGTTTACTCTTGTTTATTCACAAGTTCATTATAGAAAATAGGTATACACTTCAGAATTATGTAAAATATATAATAGTATTTCTAAATAAAATCCAATTAGAATTATTTACATACAAATAAAATATTGGTTGGTTGATTAGTAGATACAAGTATATGACTATGCTATTCGGATAACTTACATTTCTTACAACAAATTAAGAGTCAAAAGAAGAGTGTATATGTAACATGCAACCTTTTCTTATTAAGGATATAATAACATGCAACTGACGAAATTTTATATTTTATATTTTGAATAAAAAGCAACTTACAAAGTTTCCTCCGGTGTCAGGAAGAATCCCGGCGGCTGCGGAAGCATAGTTGACACCACGAAGTACTTGATCTCCGGTAGCTTCCGAGTACGCCGGAATCAGTGGCAGCCCCAATAGTTGAGCTATATGATCAGTGCATGCATGTATCATATTTAATACTTATATCAGCCTCTCGTTCCAGTTTTAGGAGGAATGAAAACATGTTTTGAAGAGAAAACACCATATATGTAGACATGGAGTAAAACTTACCAATCCCATCGACCATGGTTAAGCCATTGCAGAACCGACCGGTCGGACCGCCATTGAAATCTATACCATAAGGGAAATAATTGGCTTTGGCAAAGGAAGGAATGTTATTGTTATTCCCATTGTCTATCAGAGAGTCACCGAAGACAAACAGCGCCGGCACAATGCCATCACCGCTGTTTAGGTCGACCAATGGAGGCGGAGGAGCAGAAATAGGTTCTTCAACCTCAACTAGTTGGCCGGAGACACCATGAAGGAGATGAAGAACCACCACGAGAAGAGCTGAGAAGAAGCAAAGTCTCGGGAAGTGGAAAGCCATTGTGAAGTACTTGTTTGTGTTTTATAAGGTGTGACTTTTAATTTTTCTAGATTAATTTGGGTGAAGAGAAAAATAGAATTGGACAGATTTATAGACAGAGTGAAAAGGGTTTGGTGAAGAGTAATAAATGTATTTATCCGTCTTCTATCACACAGTAATAACAACCCCTGATGATAACCACAGTAAGTGAGTTGACATACATTTTCCATAGCCAAATTTTTGAAAAACATTTAAAATGGAGATAAAAAAAGTGCACCTACCGGAGAATTTAGCAATTAAGGTATCTTGAAAATTACATATTTAAGTTGAAAGGTATGATCAGGATGACATAATTACTGATTTGGTGAAATGCAAGCCAGCTCAAACTAAACAAAATATCACTAACGAATAATCGATTTAGCTCACTATATAAAATTCCCGTATATATATGATGAACTACTTGATTGAAAGAGGATTGTAAACC